ATGATCTCCTATTCTTGGGGTTTTAGTTACTAGTGGTTTTCTTTCCTTCCTCCTTAGTTGTAGCCTCCCCTCCCTAATTTTCGGTTATAGTTTATAGTTTTTTGAAAAAACCAATAAAAAACTCGATGACCTTCGTCGGGCATTACAAGCTGTGGCTGGTTGGCTCAGACTGAGTAGGTTGAAATTAAACCCGAAAAAGACTGAGGTCCTGGGCCTGAGTCGGACCGGTTTGGGGTTGGGGCTCCCGGCCTTCGGCAGGGTGCCGTTGGTGCCTGCGTGGGAGGTTAGGAGTTTGGGGGTGCTCCTGGACCCCTCATTAACGAGGGAGGCCCAGGTGGCAACCACTGCCAAGGCAGCCTTTTACCATCTGTGGCTGACTCGGCAGTTGGTCCCCTACCTTGACCGTGTTGACCTGGCCACTGTGATCCATGTGACAGTTACCTCGGGGCTAAACTACTGTAACGTTCTCTACTTAGGGCTGCCTCTGTCGCAAATCCGGAAGCTGCAGCTAGTGCAGAATGCTGCGGCCAGGCTGCTGATGGGCCTCTCTAGGCGAGACCACATCCGGCCTGTGCTGCAAGCGCTGCACTGGCTGCCGATAGCATACCGGATTCGCTTCAAAGTGCCGGTTCTCACCTTTAAAGCCCTATATGGCTGGGGTCCAGCTTACCTGAAGGACCGCCTCTCCCCATATGTTCCCCCAAGAGCACTAAGATCGGGGAGTCTCCATCTCCAGGCCCCCGAGATGTGGTTTTCCCCTACTAGGGCCAGAGCGTTTTTGGTGGCGGCTCCTACCTGGTGGAATGAGCTCCCAGAGGAGATCTGGGCCCTGCGGGACCTTGTGCAGTTCTGCAGGGCCTGTAAGACGGAGCTCTTCCGCCAGGCTTTTGAGTAGGAGGCGCCGACGCCACTACTCCATCATTGTGGCATTGTCCTCTTGCTGTTTCCATCATATAGGGCAGTTATCGCCTGGCAGAATGCGCGTAGAACAGCGCTGCTGGAGACCGCGCTAGAGACAGCTGGCCGCCGGGCTGGGTTCACTGACCCCGTCTTGGGTGATTTATATGTAGGAAGACTAGAGCACTTTAAATATTGTATGGTTTAATTGTGTGTTTTAATGTGGCTTTGTTTTATTGTATTTTATCTATTTAGTGCGGCTTTTGCTGTATGTTAGCCGCCCTTAGGGGGACTTTTAAAAAAAAGGAAAGGAAAAAGTGCCAAAACATTATTTGATTCCCTAATACAGTATGATCTGAATAGGGTGTCAAACATGCGGCCCGGGGGCCGGATGAGGCCCCGGATGGCTTGTATCAGGCCCGCAGTGGAACTGGCTATCTTCTGCTTCTTCTTCCAGTTCTGCTGCTGCTGCATCATCGTAGGTTTGCAGGTTACAGATACACACCTGAACAGCATACTCAGGGTTGCAACAGCACAGACATTTTGATGCAATAATTCAGAGCAAGAGGTATCAGTTATCAGACACTTAAATAAACAAAATATTGCAAGAGTGCTAATGTTTTAAGCATGTTTTTATTTTAAGTTAAAAAACCCTTTGTGTTTGTGTCCTTTATAAAGTTTATATCTCCGCTACCTGGCATTTCATTTTATGACACACATGGCCTGGCCCAACAAGTTCTCATTTATGTCAGATCTGGCCCTCATATCAAATGAGTTTGACACCCCTGATCTAAATCAACATTTTTTTATTTTTTGTTAAGCCAGTTTGGTGCAGTGGTTAAGAGCGCGGACTCTAATCTGGGACAAGTGGGTTTGATTTCCCACTCCTCCGTGTGTAGCTGCTGGTGTAACCTTGTGTCAGTCACAAATTCTCTCAGAGCTGTTCTCTCAAGAGCAGTCCTCGAAAGAGCTCTCTCAGCCGCACCCCCCTCCCACAGTGTCTGTTGTGGGGAGGGAAAGGAGATTGTAAACTGCTCTGAGACTCCAAATGAAGGGCACAGTATAAATCCAATCTCTTCTTCTTAATCTAGTAAACAAATTTTTAAAATACTTCATGTTAATTTTATGTGTCACTCAGTTAAACTGAAATATTTGGTTAGAAAAAAGCAATGATATGTGATTTAAAATTTTAGACGTATATATCACTTAAAATTCTGTATAAAGCTTTGAATTTAACATTCAAAGACAATATAGCATGTAAGGCGCTGAAAATGTTTGGCACCTAATTTTAGAACAGCCAGTGTACTGCATGATGTGCAGTGGATATTGTTGTTGCTCTTCTGTTTCAACAGAATTTAATTCTCTTCCATGGAGTTCATTGGGGTACTTCATCTTTACTTATTAGCTCCATATCAAATTGGTGATTACAATATAATTTCTACTGTATGTCAGGAGACATATAAATAAGAATTTTAGCTTTTGTTTTGGCCTATATAGCTAACCAGATAAATTCATAACTAAAATCATATGTAGTTATGGGGCTAGATCCCGCATAGTTATCTGGTTGCAAGGGAAGTTATGTTTGCCAATTCCCCCTCCCATGATAGCCCAAAATGCCCCATGTCATGGTGGACCCTCCAAATAGCTTTGATGGCAAATCAGAAGTTTTCTGACAGGGAATCAGCAAAGATCAATTTTCTTGTACCTGCAGAAATGTTGGTGGGATCCAAGCTGTGGTTTTATTACCCTGTTCCCTATTTACAAATGAATGAAACTTGAATGTACTCTTAATTCTTACAGATAATAACCTGAAAAGCCGTAATTACAACTCTGAAACAGTCAAGCTTGCCTAATACTATTCTGGAATGGCAACAATTCATTGTTAAGTTTGTGAAATAATGAGCCTTTAGATTTTTTTTTTTCCCCTGTGTGAAGATAAAGGACATACATACATGATATTTTGGTTGGTCGTAATATAAAGGTATGTTTTTGTGTTTGGCTGTTTCTTTGGACACTATGGCTACTTGCAGTCTCTGTTCGTCCTTCAATATTTGCTCATCCTAAGAAAAAAGGGTAAGAAGCAGTGGGATTTGAACTGCAAGAAGGTAAAATGAGGCAAGTTATATATTTTAAATCTGCAGTTATATAAAGGAATAGGTCTCTACAGAAGATGCACATCTCTTTCTTGGAGAGTTTAAAAAATATGGTAGCTAGGTGTACGTCATGGAAGGTTTTAAGATGTAGGAACAGCTTGTCTAAGGCATGGAATTGGAATTAGATGCATAAAATGGTTGATAGACTGTTTTTCTTTTCTTAGTACATGATAATACCAAGTAACTGCAACATAATTTGGCCTTGTTTTGAAATGGTTCTCAAATATTCACACCATGTTAAATTAGCTACTTATTTTGCACATTGCAGTCTAACAAGCAGGAAGGAAATATTTGACTCTTGTGTCAAGGGGTGGGCATGAACCGGAAAAATGGAGGTTCATGTGACGGATTTGTGGGAGACAAGTTCTCTCGAACCTTTGGTTTGCAGACTGGCCTGGTTTGTGCTTGAACCAGGGTTTGTTTATCAGTTCGTGCTCATCCCTACTTATGTCGGCATGATCTGGGGCATAGATCCCATATCTATCCTGTGGTGTTCCACAGGTTGAATAATTTCACCTGTGTTGTTCATTTGGTACATTAGCCCATCAGGTGAGCTTGTTCACAGTTTTGCTGGAGCAGTGTTTGGATGCTATGGTTTGGTGTAGTGATTAAGAGCACGGACTCTAATCTGGGAGAGCTGGGTTTGATTCCCCACTCCTCCACATGCAGCTGCTGGTGTGACCTTGGGTCAGTCATAAGTTCTTTCAGAGCTGTTCTCTCGAGCAATTCTCAAAAGAGGTCTCTCAGCCCCACCTGCCTCACAAGGTGTCCGTTGTGGGGAGGGGAAGGGAAAGGAGATTGTAAACCGCTCTGAGACTCCTTCGAGTGAATGGCGGGGTATAAATCCAATCTCTTCTTCTGCTTAAGTGGCTGAGAGATAGTAAGCTAAAAGTGGAGCCAGACAAGACAGGTGGTATTGGTTGGTATAATGGAAATCATGGAGGAGATTGTCAGTTTCTGCACAACATAAGGGTCAAACTTGGTTAAGAGCTTGAGAGTTTTATTGGATCCTGTGCTATTGTTGGAAAATCAAATAACTGCAGTACTAAAGGTTATTTAATCACACTTATTGCAGAGACTGGTTCCCCCTTAGATGCCAATGATCTGGCTATAGTAAGCCATGCTACTGTAACTAAAAGGCTAGGCTACACATATGTGAGGATGATCTTAATAATTTGAAAACTTCAGTTAGTACTGCTGAGATCCTGGAGATGAGAATGTATTGTTCCCTGAAATGGCTCCATTTGCTTTGCAATCCAGTTTAAAGTGCTAGTATTGCTCTTTAAAAGTTTATATGATCTTAGACTTGCTTGGTTGAAGGAACAACTTGTCCACTGTGAACCTGTTGACCCAATTCTGCATGGAGCTCAAGGCCGTCTTCAGTGGGCCTTTGTGTATTTTAGGCTGAGTGGCAGACTATGTCTGAACAGGGTATGATGGCTAGCTGCTGATCTGTTAAGTTTTCTGATGTGTTTGAATTTAATATCCTGTTGCTAGCTTCAGCAGCTTCATCGACTGCCTTGACTGTTTATGGGGAGAAAGTCAGGATTAAAAAACACACATAAATAAATGCACCAGTGGAACCAGATAGTAGTCATGTTGCTTAATGTAGGGAGAGGCAAAAACTTTTAACCATATTTGGGGTTATGCAGGAGAAATTTCCAAAACAAGCATAGAAGCAAGACCTGTCAGTCATAGTTGTGAGTGTACTTTAACATTTCAGCACCAGTACTCTTAGCCAGCCTTTAATCTCTTATTACAGGCGTTCTTAATGTGTTGTTGTAGTAAAGAGACAGTATTGAATTTATTTTTAATCTTAACTTTTGCACCTGTTTTCTGGGTTAAACTGCTTGATAAACATTTTAATTTGTTTACTAAACAGTATTTTAGGCAGAAGCACTGTGAATGACTGGCTTAGCAAAATTACTGAAACTGTTGTTTTTCTTCTAGTTTCACAAGTGCAGCAACTGACTGAGAGATGCTTCAGGAAAATCTACCTCACAAATTGCATTTGTTTGCCAATGTGCTGCATCACTGGAAATCTCACGAGAAGCTTGGCGGTCATTCTTGAAAGTCTCAGGAGAGCAGATGGCTACCAAATAAGTGTATTGTGACCTGGGAATGGGTCGAAGTCTGAAGCATTTTTGATTGAGCAGTTCAGTCCATCATTGCTAAATGTCTTAATAAAGCTCGTAAAGGCTTCAAAGAATATTCCGTGTAGTCTCTTCTCAGTTTTTCAAGAAATGGTTGCTTGATCTCTGTCCTGCCAAAATAAAGTGGCTTCTCTTACCTGATCCTGGAAACATTAATGGAACATAGTCATGTCTACCCAGGAAGAAAGGCAGATCAATACGGAATATGCTGTATCTTTACTGGAGCAGTTAAAGCTGTTCTATGAACAGCAGTTACTAACTGACATAGTTTTAATTGTTGAGGGTACTGAATTCCCATGCCATAAGATGGTTCTTGCTACATGTAGTTCTTACTTCAGGTATGTGCTTCAGTCATAGTTGCTTTTTCTTTAAAAAAAAAAAGTACTAAATGCTGCTGCTACTCAGATGTTCACAATGTTCAATATATAACATGGTTGTAATGTTGGTTCTGCTCCATAACTTTAAAATGGAAGACTGAAATATTTTTTTAAGTTGCTAATATGGAAACACTAGGTCAGTTTTTGCAGTTCAAACCACTTCAGTGGTCACATGTGCCCTGCAGTGGAAGTGGAAAATCTACACTGTAAGAATGTGGCTGTCAGATAATTGCTATTTATGCAGACAGCATCCTAGTTTGTGGGGAGTAGAGTCATTATGGAAGAAAGTCTGTTTAGTGGGAATAAGATCTAAAGTGTTGAGCCCATGCTCATGCTACCCTAAGATTGATGGCAAGTGTATCTAAGGAAAAAGAAACAGGCTGCTGTTGTTTTATGGTCTAATAGAAGGGGTTGGCCCAGAAAAATATTATATGCACACACACTAGCCACCTTGAATTTGTGGAGGTGAGGCGGCATACAACTATTTTAAACAGAGGTTGGATTCCATTGATGCTGAAGATTGTTAATCTTAAGGTTAGGGAGATCAGCACGCCTCGTTTTTAACTAAGTAGTGAAGTGATTGGGGAGGTAATTTGCATGGTGCTCGTTAGGTCAAATAGATGCCACCGAGGATGAACTCAAAAGTATAGGGTGCCCTGAAATAGGGGAGAGAATGCCAGGATGTGCATGTTTCCTCCATGCTTTGCTCTCTGATTTCTTAAGTATTTGAATTTTTGAGTGGTTTAGCAAGTACGTATGCTGTGCTTTGGGTATCATTTTTTTTTTGCCAAAACAAAAGGCATACATCTAGTATGTTTGAGGGGTGCGGTGTCTTCATGGTGGTGCAAGGTGGTGACTGGCCAGCACCAGTGGTTTGAATATTTTAAGACAGGGTGTTCAAATATTTTCCAAATCATTTCCAAATCATTTCATATATATATATATGGTATATATGGTATATATATATGGTATATATGGTATATATATATGGTCTATATATATGGTCTATATATATATATATATGGTATCAGATTGATCTAATTTCTGTGCACTGAGGACAAGCAAGTCCTAGGTTACAAACTGAACCCTCCAATGGAAGAACAAGATGCATTTCTTCCTTTAGGAGATGCAATTATCAGAAGAAAATAAAAAAGTTTCAGTTTTGTTTTTTCATGTGGGTGGGTATTCTGTTTGAAATAATTGTTTGGATGCACTATATTTTTAATATGCTAGTTGTGATAATTTCATGCCAAGTAAAAATGTCCATAGTCATTTTATGTTCCTAAAGTAACAGAATGACTTTCAATCTAGAAAAGACAAAAGAAATGCTAATGTAGCATTTTTTTCGATTTTTCCGAAAATTTCCATTTCCCCCTGAGAAAAACTGGGTTTTTTTCCAAGCTTCAAAATTTCCAGAAATTTTACATCTCTACCCCTTGGTTCCAGGGGGGTGGGTGGTGGTGTTAGAAGAAGGTGCAAACTACCCATAGCCACAGCTAGACCTCACAGCTTAGCTCTGTGACTTCTGTCTTGACTTCCTGAAGAGTCCAAGGTCCACCATTTTACATTCCGTCTTCCTGAAAAACTAATCTGGAGATCAGATATTTTCTTTATATGGACATACTTATGAGTAAGTAGATAACATCCACCAACGTTTAAATAAAATTGCTTTATCTGATTGGTGCTTCTTTACAATCCATCTCTCAAGTGGAAAGAAGGCAGGGCATTGTAATCTGTAAAGTGCTGGAAAATTACAAGGAAAGCTAGAAGATGGCTGAGATTTATGTATTGTATGTTTATTCCTCAGGGCTATGTTCATGAGCGGGTTGAGTGAAAGCAAACAAACCCATATCCATCTGAGGAATGTGGATGCAGCCACTTTACAAATCATAATAATTTATGCTTACACGGGTAATTTGGCAATAAATGACGCAACAGTCGAACAGCTTTATGAAACAGCCTGCTTCTTACAGGTAGGAATGTTCTATAGTTTTTCTAAGACATACAATGTCTGGAAATTGCATCTAAAATATATGATGATTCAAGTTAATTAAAATGTGTAAACATGTTGTTTTCAAGTCAGTTTGCATTTTGTAGATATGGATGAAAAATATCCTGAGGAAAATCTTGTTATTGCCATGGAAGCATTTACATGTTCCATATGAAGGGTGTAATTGTAAGCTGACTTGATTTTTTTCTGTCCTGGGCAAATACTAAACGGTTTGGAATGAAGAAATGAAATGTCTATATTTTTTTTTTCATAGATCACAATTACCTTGATTAGATTTAGATTCAAGAATCTAGACCTGCTTTGGGGGGGGGGGGACTGACTGACTAGTATGGTCCACCTCCAGGGTTTCCAGTAAACCTCTGCAGTGGGGACCATAAATAGAATAAATGGAATAAAATAGAATGGAATGCTATCTGCTAGCAGATTGTTTTAGTGTACAATCTTTCTTAGATCCAGAGCGTGTTCTTCCTCAGATCCATCTACTCCCTTATAAACCTGTCTGCCAGTCAAAACCTTCCAGAGTCACCCTGCTCCCCCACCTTCAGAGGCGGGTCTCCAGTGCCAGAGTGTCTTTTCCTTGACTGTTGAATGCCCTGTCCATAGTAGCTCGCCTGACACTTAGCTTGTTAAAATTTAGGCACCATATATGTAAGGGTTTTTTTCTTTCCCTTGTATGCTTCTATTTCTATTCATTTTTGTAGCTGATTGGTTATTGGTTTTCAGTGCTGGTTTTCAGGGTATATACTTGGTGTCAAGTGTTTTAAGCATATGATTCGTATTTCTAGTAAATTTGGTTTTATGTTGCTTTTATTGTGTGTATTCAAGTAAGTTGTAAACTGCCTTGACTATTTTAAAAAAATAATTATGGTATATAGATATATACAAGGGGCGGGACCCGCGATACTCGCGGGAGGGGGGAGGGAGCTCCACACCTATGAGGAAGAGGAGGAAGCAGGAGGAGGAGGTAAGTTCCCCCCCATCCCGCCGGTTCCCCCGGCCGGCGGTTTGCAGCTGCCCCGGCCTCGCTGGTCTTCCCGCCCCCCCTCCTGGCTCCGAAGCGGTGGCGAGGCCAGCTGCAGAGCATTCCCTGCTCATGCGCAGGGGACGCTCTGTCACTTTCGGGGGGATTTTAGTATCCCCCCGATATTTTTTTACAGGTTTCAGATTTTTGTGCACACCTGGGGACTGCCCCAAGTGTGCACAAACATCCCTCTCCCCCCAGGTGCCCCCGATGTGCGGAAATAAGTATCCGCATGCAGGGGGCGACTTCGGTATTAGATATATAGATAGATATGTGAGGGAATCTGTGTTAAAGTAAATGAAATTTGTGATTGCAAGACAACTACGAGTGTAAGTGATTGTAATGTAGTACAGCAGTCTACTAGTGCCTGTTATTTTTACTAGTGCCAGTGACCTTGTTGGAAGCCACTAAATATTCCTCCCTTCCACTGACATTGGAAATGTCTGATGCTTGGTGAGGTGGGAAGGCGAGGGTGCTTTTGGGACTCCAACATTGTTGTGGGCAGGAACTGAGGAAGCATATTAATTGTTTATTTCAGGGCTCAACAAATTGTAGTCACTAGGCTGCTGTGGTTCCTAAAGATTTAATTATAGCACTTAGTTTTAGCACTGAGTTTATTGTAGCATTTCTGTTCTCAGCAGTTCTCAGTGGAAGTAAAAAGAGTTAGATCCAACCAGTTTTCCATTGGTGAAAAGGTGAGGCAGTCAGTCCCCTTTGATAAATAAAAGGCTACATTTGAGGTCATGGGACCTGATGAGCAAAAGCCATGTGGAACGGGGACTGTAATTAGGAAATTATCTGAGTTAAAAAGTTCACTGGATCCAACACAAAACATATTTATCATTTTTCAACAGAATGTGGTATTGTATGAGACAAAGTGGATGTGCATGAAGTTCTTGGTGTTGCTTGTTTATATATAAACTTAAGTTTTCAGCATTCAGTGGTAGTAGATGAATTCCTTTCTTAACCAGTTGCTTTCTGGTGAATCAGATGCAGCTTTTAAAAAGCCATAATAGAATTATGAGAAATCTGAGAGAAGTAAAACTAGGATTAGAGATTAGTTTTATTGTTATAGTGATGGCAACTCAGGTTTATCACTGTCTTTACTTAAGTACCGTAACATTTTTATCTTAGCTTTATTAAAATTACAAGAAACTATGAAGAAGTTAGGATTAGGTTTTATGGTAGCAGTTATGAGAAACATTGATGATTCAAAATACAAAGCTTTGAATGCTGAAAAACAAGTCTGACTCTGAAGTCTTTGGGCTGGCTTCTAAAGTCAAAGGAAGTTGGTCAATGCCTGATCTACACCAGTAGTTCTCAAGCTGTTCAAACTGCAAGCCACTTTTAAACTTTACCATTCTGACTCACTTCTGTACTTCCACTTTTCAGGACCCACTTACAAAGTAACTCCACATTACCCGCCCCCGCCCATAAAACTCAGAATCCCACATGTGTTAGCACTGAGCAAATGTATAGATAATTCTTCATGTTTATTGTCTATAAAAAGAAGACTGCTGAACAACAGATTATTTTTCATGGCCATTTCATATAGTATGCCCAGGAGAACCCAAATTTGCCTTTGAGTCTCCCAGAACGATCCCTACTCTCCTTTTTCTCTTCTTATTCTGTCCGGGCCCTAAGACCTACTTGCAAGCTGCCACCCACTTTGAGAACCACGATCTTAACACAGCTGGCGAATTTTAATTCTGAGATAAATGGCAGATGCTGCCAGTCAGGTGAGTTCTGCCTTGGCAGACTGTGTGCAATGTTCCCTCTAAGCTGTGGAGTCTTGTGAGCAAAAATTCTACTTTGTGAGCTACTGGCATTAAAGTTGTGAACAAGTGATTTGGCTACTGCATAAGTTAGTTTGCTCTGGAGCCGTCCTTCCTGAGCTAAGATAAAAATGTGTGAGCCGGAGGCTAAAAAACTGAGCTAGCTCACACTAACTCAGCTTAGAGGGAACACTGACTGTGTGTAGGCACTTTGTCCCCTTCCTTGGTTGTAGGCTGCAGACAACCCTAGTGTTGGTTTGTCTTCAGTGTGGGAAGAGGCCTATACTCTGTAACTGATCCCTTCACCCTTGCAAAGTAGACATTTCAATACAACTGCATCTTTTTCTACTGTTGTGCATAATTGTGGCTCTTGTACATTATTTTACAAAAGCAATACTTTGCTTCTAATGTGGTGTTTTTTCATTGCAGGTAGAAGATGTATTACAACGGTGTAGAGAATACTTAATTAAAAAAATAAATGCAGAGAACTGTGTGCGACTCTTGAGTTTTGCTGACCTTTTCAGTTGTGAAGAGTTAAAACAGAATGCTAAGAGGATGGTAGAACACAAGTTCACCGCTGTATACCATCAGGATGCTTTCATGCAGCTCTCTCATGATCTATTGATAGATATTTTGAGCAGTGACAACTTAAATGTGGAAAAGGAGGAGACAGTTCGTGAAGCTGCTATGTTGTGGCTGGAGTATAACACAGAAGCTAGATCACAGTATTTGTCGTCTGTTCTTAGCCAAATAAGAATTGATGCACTTTCTGAAGTTACCCAGAGAGCTTGGTTTCAAGGCTTGCCACCAAATGATAAGTCCGTTGTGGTTCAAGGATTGTATAAATCTATGCCTAAGTTTTTTAAGCCAAGGCTTGGAATGACTAAAGAGGAGATGATGATCTTCATCGAAGCTGCTGCTGAAAATCCTGGTAATCTTTACTCTTCAGTATGCTACAGCCCACAGGCTGAAAAAGTTTACAAGCTCTGCAGCCCTCCTGCTGACTTGCATAAGGTTGGAACACTTGTAACTCCTGATAATGATATTTATATAGCAGGTGGGCAAATTCCACTGAAAAACACAAAAGCCAATCACAGTAAAACAAGCAAACTTCAGGTTGCCTTCCGAACTGTGAATTGCTTTTACTGGTTTGATGCCCAGCAGAACACTTGGTTTCCAAAGAGTCCAATGCTGTTTGTTCGCATAAAGCCATCCCTGGTTTGCTGTGAAGGCCACATCTATGCAATTGGAGGAGACAATGTCGGTGGAGAGCTCAACAGGAGAACTGTAGAAAGATATGATACAGAGAGAGATGAATGGACCATGGTAAGCCCATTGCCCTGTGCATGGCAATGGAGTACAGCAGTTGCTGTTCATAATTGCATTTATGTAATGGCACACAATTTGATGTACTGTTACTTCCCGAGGTCAGATGCTTGGGTTGAAATGGCTATGAGACAGACTAGTAGGTGCTTTGCTTCAGCTGCTGCTTTTGGAGATAAAATATTTTACATTGGTGGCTTGCATGTTGGCAGCAACTCTGGTATAAGACTCCCAACTAGCACTGTAGATGGGTCTTCCGTAACTGTGGAAGTCTATGATGTGAATAAAAATGAATGGCGAACGGCAGCCAATATCCCTGCCAAGCGGTATTCTGACCCCTGCGTCAGAGCTGTTGTGATCTCCAATTCTTTATGTGTGTTCATACGAGAAACCCACATGAATGAGAGAGCCAAGTATGCCACCTACCAATATGATATGGACCTTGACCGGTGGTTCTTGCGGCAACATATTTCTGAGCGGGTGCTATGGGATCTAGGAAAAGACTTTCGATGCACTGTGGGAAAACTGTATCCATCTTGCCTTGAAGAGTCTCCATGGAAGCCTCCACCATATCTCTTTCCATCAGATGGAGCAGATGAATTTGAGCTGCACGGAGAGATGGTTACACTGCCCCCTGTATAGCTCCCAAAACTCAGACTGCATGCCTGTAATTGATTATCATGAACATTTGTTTGAAAGATCAGAGCTGGAAACTAAACCTGTCAAGGCTGTCTTGTTTGTATGCCCTATTTAACTTTTGTGGCCATTGAGTGTAAATCAGTGAAATTTTCAAGCAGATATGCTTCCATAATCTAAAACAATCCCTCTGATAGCTGATGGGATCTCTGGGTTGGATCTAGCACAAAATTTATGCTTGTGCTAGGGCTCTTGTGCAAGCAGAAGTGCAAGGAAAAAAAACATGGTAGCTGCTCGTGCTGTCAAACTTATTGTATCTCTCCCCTCCCCTGTGTTTCTGCTTGTGCAAAGCCGTGTGCATCCGGTTTCTGGGTCCTATATATAAAAGCAGGAAAGTAGTAGGTGCTGTGCAGGATCTTGCGCAGATGGAACTGTGCTGTTTGTATTTCTGCTTGCGCATTGCTGGATCCAGCCTATCTATATTGCAAGCTTAAAGCATCTGCTTATTGTTTCAATGTTTAGTCCTGTGAAGACATTTAGTTCAGGAAATGTTCACAAAAGCAGCATCTGTTTTTAGGATGGTATGTCAATTGCTCTGAAAGTATCTTCCAGGTGTATATACTGAGTTCTGGAAATCTTTGTATGTGCTAGTTATAAGTAGATTCAGTGTGGCCTAATGGAATGTGCTGCACTTAATGCACAACAGCTGTGTTGGTATAATAATGCCATGTAAAAGAAGAAACAAATCCCATGGATCTACCTGTGGTAGGAAGGGTAGATCTTCCATTTTACAGTGACATGCAGGGCAAAATGACTGCAGGTTCAGTCAAGCTGTATTATTATTATTATTAGGTGCATGTATTTTCACTAACTTATACCTGTCTATTTAGAATACAGGTCTTCCGAGCAGCTGGTAGTTTACCAGGTGTGAACTTACGTTGCTGGGCTTGCAATAAGAATTGCCAGCCCCTCCTAGTGCGGGTCTCTGTGGAGCTTTGGATCAGTAAATGACTCCACGTTCTGTATTTCAGAAACATTGGCTCATGCATATTACTTCCTGCTGCTTTATGTTCCCCCCCCATCCCACCCCCAGTGTAAACAAAGATGTAGTATGGATTAACCGAAGTCTCTTTTTGTTAATTTAATAACAAGCATTACTGTAGTGTGACTGTGTGTAGATACCCCTTAGCCGTTGTTGTGTTTTTCTTTTGGGGAGGGGAGCAAAACTGTTCAGGAATACTCTACCCTTCTGTGCAAAGAGAGCAGTTGACTAGTGCTGCTCTGGCATTAATCCCAGGAACCACTAGCAGTAGCGGGGCGCCACCAATATTACATGAGCACAGGTGCTTCATGATGGATCATACTAGCATGTTCAGCTGTATCATGTTCTGGCACTGTATTTTGAATGATATTAATTTATTAAAAAAAAACCAGAATCAAAGTGTGTGTACTCTTTATATGACCCATACCATTACCTTTGAAACAGCAGTATCTGCTACGATTTTGAAGGCATTTCTGTTCACTGAATCTCTCACTCCTTCAAACCTTGCATTACTTAATAAAGTGGTGGTATTTACCGTGGCTGGCTTCAGCCATTTAGAGGCGTGCGAACAACAGGAAGGGAAAGTGAGTGTCACATGGTTCTTCCTCGTGCTTCTGTATATTAGCTAAAATAAAACTTGCCATTTCCCCACTCTGGTGAGATGTATAGTCTGTCTCCAAATTGGGTAGATGCAAAAGGTCTATTCTATAGAAAAGGAGAACCATTAGCTACTTGTGCTTCCTGCTGTTTCTGCTTCTTTTAATTTTGAGGCTCTCATTGAAGCTATGATTCCAGAGGAGTATCAGTTGTGTTAGTTTGCTTAAGCAAAAACTGTCTTGTGGCACCTTAAGGATATCCACATACATTGTGAAATGAACTGTTGTGGACTAGAGCCACCCTTGTAAGCAGGGGTCATTTCCTGCAGGGAGCGCACAGGAGTAGAGCTCAGGCAGTAAGGAGCCCAGGGGGCGGGCATATGCAACAAGCCCCCCCCCTGCTCCCAGCAGCCCTCAGTCAGGCCACGAGGAGCAAGAAGCAGCCAGGTAAGTTGCAGAGCCCCCCCCCCCCCGCCTGCCTTCAGATACACGCTCTCTCTCCTTTGTAAGGGCAGATCTGCACGTCCCCCCTCCCCCCCAATAGCTAGCAATCTAAAGCAGTCCAGTGGAGCCTGAGTGGTGGGTGTTGCCTTCTGACACACTGATGTCAGGGGGTGTGGCATATGCTAATGACCTCCTGCACCTCTTTTTCTACAAAATGACCCCTGGTTGTAAGTGAAAAAAAGAAGTGAATTATGAGATCTCTTTATGGGTACCCCTTTCCTGAGATGTGCAGTTGGAGGAAGGTATGAATAATTTCAGAAGCTGTCTTGTTCAGACTACAACTGTTTTTTAAATACCACCCTGTCATTGAAAACGTCTAGCTAATAGCGTATTGCTGCTGTGATCTTCATTGTGTGTGTTTTTTGTTCCTGCAGTAACAAGGCTTTCACTGAGGGGAGGGAGAAGATGATGGGTTGGATCCAGCCAGCTTTTTCAAACAGTCCATCCAGTTCTCTTTCTTACTGCAGCTCCCATCCCACTTGGATTTCGTACATGAAAATCCCTTGATATATCTCTGCATAGCCTATATAGGTCATCAGAGACTGTGCTCCCTTCCTTCCTTTCCCTGTCAGCAGATGAGTTGATTGGATCCAGTACATTTGTATAGGAGATTCTGATGATTTAAGCCTATTTTTGAATTCCAGGCAAACAGCTGAAATACAAGTTTCACTCTCTAATATCTTTCAGCCTGCTATTCTGTCAATGGATGCACGTACCTGCTTTGCTCAGCATTTTTCTCAATTTTAAAATATTCGATTTGCAATTTGCTTTAACTTTACAGGATAGAAAAAATTAATTTATTGTCCTTGATCCTTCAGGAATAACTTGCTCATCCAACAGGAGGGAAGAGAATCTCTTACATGCGGCTAAACTATGACCATAATGCCTTGGAACAAGATCTGACTGCTGTATTAATGTTAGAGAAAGTAAAACCTTTTTGAACTTGTATAATTGTTAAGATAACACACATAACAAAAATGTGAATGTGTTTGAAGATTCTTTTTCTGTGAGGTCATAGTATAAGTGAAGCAGATTATTGAAACAGGAAGACCTTTTTGTGTGTATAAACTTGAAGCGACTGCATAGGCGTCACTATATGAGAAGAAAGTTTCAATGCTGGCTATTAGTTTTGGTGGTTGGTGTTTAGAAAATGGACTAATGCAGCCTCCCACAGGTGAGTATGCTGCCCTTATTTTGTAGATTAACACTGACTGTTAGCAGTACACATAGAGTAGTAAGGAAAGTTGGGCAATGAAAGTATATTTTTAGGACTAGCTTCTGATAAACGTATTAACAGAGGCAATGTTTTTGTGAAGGCAGACTAGTGGTGATTTTAACAAAAGGTTCAATACTGCCCTTTGAAGATTAATTTGACACTTGTGTTATACTTGATTTTTAAGTAGAGAACTTAAGGAATGCACAAAGATAAATATAAATGAAGAGACTCAAATGATTTTGGTTGAAAGGTTTCCCTTCAACAGTAGTCAAAGGTCTACTTCAGGGGTCCCCAACCTTCTGGCACATGGGGGCCACATTAGAGTACCCAATGCCTGAAGAGGGCCCCATCTTAAATCAAAACGTAACAAAATTAACCTACCTATTTAGATCAAAAGTAAACATTCAGAGGTCAATGAAGAAATGTTAACCGGAACACAATCCATTTTGGAGCAATACTTTACTGTGGAACCCCTTTTATGTTGCTACACATGTTTACCTAGTCAATGTGATTTTTGTGGCTGTTTTCTGTTAGTCAAGGCATTAACGTCCAAGTCATGGCTTGTGAAAGACACCCTTAAAATGTCATGTAAATGTTCATCTGTAAGTCCTGACCTACACTTGGATTTCCCAATTTTCACTTTGGAAGAAGTTTGTTCACGGATTTATGTTGTGCCAAAGACCATGAACATGCCTGCAGCAAATTTCTTTAGGTTGATAAGTGTATCACGTAGAGCAGAATAGAAATCTAACAGACTATTTTCTTTGTAAATGGCTCTGAGATTATCACTGGCTTGCAAGTCAATTAGTTCTATCTGAAAAAAGTTACTTGCATCTTCTAGTGCTACTTCAAATGGATTCTGAAACATTATTTCCTTCCCATGCTTATGGCAATCAATGAATCTGTTAATAGTTTCAGTTCTTTGATGTGTTTTTCAACACTGAATTATAAATTATTGTCCTCCTCAAATTTTAGTCCATTGCAGCATGAGACGTTTGAAAAGTTACCTTCACTAACTTGCTTCACAAAATTTTTAAATTTTGCTTCTTTCAATTCAGACTACATGTCACACACAAGCTTTCCTTTTCCCTGCAAACTTAGATGCAATGTGTTCAGATGCTCTGTGATATCATTCAAGAAAGCCAAAATAAGAATCCATCCAGGGTAAGAAAGTACTTCTTGACCTTTTCCTTTCTCCTTGAGAAAGACATCAACTTCTTGATGAAAACTGAAAAAACATTGAGGACTTTGTTTCTGCTAAGCTATCTGACTTCTCCACGGTACAACACGTCTCCATATTCTGCATTTATCTCTGACAGAAAAATTTGAAACCGTCGATGAGTAAGGCCATGATGCCTGATGTAATTAATGCTAGATACAACAATGTGCATCATACCTTCCCACTGAGGAATCTTACTACACGAGGCTTGCTGGTGGATGATGAAGTGAAATTGCATGGGTAGTGTACTGCTTAATTTCAGTATCTCTTCTTTGCTTTTTCATCTACACCAGTTGTGATACTTTTCAATTTATCCCAACTCAGACTTTGAAAAACGTTTTCTGCAGTTGTAATGCCTTTCAAATTCTGCAATGCACACAACTCTTCTGTAATTCTGAAGTTGGAATCTATTCCCCTGATAAAAATTAATATTTGAGCAGTGTCTATAATGTCATTGCTCACATCTAATGCAAAAAAAATATGTTTTGCCTTTACAATCAGACATGCAGCTCTTCTAGTTTTCCAACAGGCCTGGTGATTGTAGATGCAGATAAGTTATCTTGCGTTGTGTCAGTTTATCAGGGCACATCTTTCATTTAACCATGTACTTTTTAACACATTTGCCATCAGTGAATGGTCTACCACTCTCAGCAGTACATTTAGCAACATGATAGCTGGCTCTCACAGTAGACAAGTTCTCAATGTACTTTCTAAAAGTATTTTGCTGCAAAAACATTGATTTTCTAGAAACTATCTTGTTCACTCGCATCTCTCCTTGATATATTGAGTAGCTCTTGTGTGAAAGCATTAAAAGTGCCTTTTAACACTGTACTCCTTTAATCCTGAGACAGCTTCAAGACATACCAAGGCAAACTGCTTTATGCTTGTTTAAAATAAAGTACACGGTAGTATGCTTGTCATTAAAGATACAGTGCTCATCTGCAATTTTTTGTTTCTTTGAAACAGCACTTTTGCAGACACCTTGCAGAATTTTTAGTGAAGAAGCAGTTGTAGAATTTCAGTATAATCCTTGAATAAATAAAAATATGAAAAGTATAGCTTTAGAGGCTCCCCTTTCCCATCAGATCCACTCCACTCTAGCTGCTATTAGCTGAGGAGTTTCATTTTGACCATGGGAAAGAAGAGACTCCTGTCTCCCTGTCTACTACAGTTCTCAGGAGTATTGGGCCATATGCACAGGCTATGAAGAATTTTTAAAAAAATGGATTAGGACCCTGACCTACCAGGTGGCAGAGCTGCAATCCTAAGTACATTGAATACTATGAGATTTATTTCATAATAAACACACTGCCTTGAGGTTTAAATCAACACATGCTAATACTTCAAAAATCGGGGCCCCTCCAAAATATGAGGAGTGAAATGAAAGGTCAGCCTTCCACCTGGAGCAGAGGATGTGCTATTAAGTTGGCTTCAAATTATATGCAGGGTGCACATACACATCAACTACCTGCCACCCAAACTTCAATTATGAGAAGCAAAATGGCAGCGGGGGGGGGGGGGGATGGCTGGAGGAAGATGTGGGAAGGGGAATCCCATAAGCTTCCCTGCTAAGAGAGTCCTCCTTCCCTCTCAGCTCAAGGGGCCACTCAGTGTCTCCTGTGATTTCAGATGCATGAGAAGACTCCTAGCTGGAGTGGGCAGGGGAGGGGAGGCAAAAGCAAGCAAGGCAAGAAGTCAGAGCAACCAGCTCTTGTTGAGGAAGGAAGAATGCTTTTGCCTGCAGCAGCAACCTCACCAGTAACCTGTACCCATTCACACAGCTGCTTTATTTTCCTTACACACACACATAGCATTCAACATGGGAGTGCATGGAGAATGGGAGTGAAAAAGCTGAGTGGTACGGGTCGGGCACCTAAGCTTTGCCTGCTGGCAAAGCACCCAGAATAGCCAAAATGTTGGTATGGAGGAATTAGAGCAAGAGGGGGCTGACAGAAGGAACCATGGAGAACAGAAGAAACAATGCTGCTATTGTGTTTTCTGCAAGAAAGGGACAGGAAGAACAGCAGTAGATGGTGTCTCTCAAGACTGGAAGGACAGTGTGGTTTTGAGGGAAAATGCCTTGAGGTGATAACAGCAAACAAGCAGGTTGGAGGGCCACACAGAAAGAACTTGGGGGCCGCAGGCTGGGGACCCCTGGTCTACTTAGTTTTCCTATTTTAAAAAGCTGTCAGTGTACAGATATTGCACCTATCTCTTATCTCCATCACTAGAAGCTAGTGTTATGCCACTGGTGAAGGAAAGCCTGAATTTACTATACCAGTTTGGTGTGAGCGAGAGCCAGGCTGGAACTTTCTTCTAATTCACTGGTTCAGTTGTACCTAGCAGTGAGGTTGCTAACATGAAGCCTGTTCCTGACTACACCCCAAGAAGAATTCCCATGCCACATCCAGCTCGTACTTCTTCCAAGAAATACTTATTCAGTGCCTGGTAACGTATTCAAGCAAAACAAGAACAATCTCTTTTATTTTCTTTATAACAAAATATACAGCAGCATTCGTAGTCTTTTGGGATACAGTAACTTCTTTGCACATTAACAGTAGACGGGGTACTTAATCTGACCAACCCAGCAGGCTGGTGGCAGCAAAGATCAGACAGGAGTAACTTTTATCACATTATGCTAAAAATAACCCATGCTTGGAAATTAGCCTTGTATTGTGTCTCCTAAATCTGGTAAGAAAATAGAAATTGGTCAGTCTCACATAAACGGGAGAAGAGATTTCACGTCTCTATTGTATTAAGGTACATATTGTTGAATGCTAGATTTTAAAACGTTTGAGTCTCTGTTTCTCTGCGCATGATGTAAATATATCTTTTACAGAAAGCATGCACAGCACTTGATATTTTGTAACAGCCCGATCCTAAACATTAGTTAGGATGAGAAGTTTGACTTATCCCTCTAAGGGCTATAAGCACTGTGCTGGCATTCTGTGCAGTGCGTTGCATCCTGACCACTTGCTTGTGGAGCAAGACCTCTGCACAATTAGGCTTATAACGCAATCTTTTTTTGGGGGGGGGGAGGGTGGTGTTTAATGCATTTGCTGTGAGAGATTCATTTACACAGATCCCGGCCTGTACTGCTTTCTACATGCAGAGCATGTAGAGCAGGCTGCATATAATCTGTGTTCCCCTCGGCATGATCTGTCCTAGTAGGCTTAGATGCACATGCTGATGTATAGTAATAGGTGTTAATATTCAGTATTTATACAGTGCTGAAGTGCCTGATGCAATCTCTAATCATATCTTGGATCACACACCTTTTTGGGGAGGTAGGGGTATATGAAAATTATTATACAGAACCTACATGCTAACCTGCTCCATAAACTGGTCCTTGAAAAATGTCACTAAAAGTACAATCAGGATGGGATTATATTAGCTCTAGAAAGTTCCCTTAATGAAACAGTAACTGAACAAGATTAGAAGCACAAGAACATTCCTCATGCTGTTTTGTAGGTTCCTAACTCAGTGAAGATGAGAACCATCTTCATTTGAGAGACATCAGACAGAGCTTCATGTAATTCTTCTGAGAGTGAAACTTTGGTTATAATAAAAAAATGTTTTTAGTAAGAGCTTTGGACAAATGTCTCAACTGCTTGTGGCCCAAATAGGAAGTAATAAATGGTGGGAACACCAACAGTTTCATATAAAATGAGATTATATGCTGTTTCACAAATCCATTAAAGTGGGGCTTACAAGTGTGTTCAGTGTATATTAGCTGTGTTGGAAGTGCTTAACTACTGTTGTACACACAGCAATACGAACAAGCTTTTCCACTTAATCAGAAGGAATGCTATATTTCCTGTCTAAACATTTTTTCCTAAACTGCATTGACACATAATCATACAATTAAATACTGCCCAATTTTTGTGCTGAAACAACAGGTGTAATTGTTTAAATAGAGTGAAATACTGAACTTTTATTCCAAGATAGTAGTTACTATAATTGCATATACAATATTTATAATTATCACTTTAAAAATTCAATGATGATATTAACCTTTGATTCCATCTTATGCTTAAGGAGTTTGCAGCCTAATCTTTCTAAAATACAGCTGTATGAAAGGTGGACAGGGTGGAAGGTGACACGTGATGCTACAAGCTCCGGTTTACCCAGCCATGGCATGCCCACTTCTTTCTGAAATTTCAGTAAAGGGGTCCTAGCTGCTGTGCTGTAGAACCTCAGGGACAAAATATACTAGGTAAGCCAGGTAGCACTTGTACTGTGAGACCTGAACCATGGGGTAGAGGCTCGTTCGAGTAGTTTATACTGTTAGCACCTTTGAAGTTTTTATGCACTTGAAAAATACAAGATGTTTCAAGTGTCAGCAGGTTTTTTGGGGGAAAGGCCCGAAATTACCAATTATAGTCAAAACTCTTTGCATGAAAGCTATTTAAAATGCAGAGGGAAAATCTTTGTGACCTGTGCGGTCTTGTATCCGTAACAAGTGAACGAGTACACACTCATGTATGAAGGCTGCATACATGTTTTTGCCATGTGTATATGGCAGTGTGCTACAACTTACTCCTATTTTCTGATTTGTACAAAATAGACAATGGGTTATAGCTCATCATGTGGTATAAGAAAATTGCATAAAGTTATCTTGACTCCATCTATAAAAGTCATCTCGTAATATACCCACCAACTCCTAAAAGTAGGATTTTGAAGAACTGGCAGAAACCCAGAGCTGGAATAGTTTTCTGTCATTAGCAGGCCCACATTGTTTTATCAGTACTATATGAATTTCAAGAGGAAACCCAAAAATGGTTGTGCCAAACAGATACAGACCTTTTTGCACATTTGGCCCACTGAAGTTTTGGAAGGGAGGTTAGCCAAGGAAAGAATGTGAATGTTTCAGTTGCAATTTTTATTTTTTAAGAAAGGGACAGGTGCACAGCCTTGGAGCTCTATATTCTCTTTGGATAAATCTCCATCATGCTGTAATCATGCCATGTCTGTCCCAGACTGAATTAATTCAGCACACAGGTGTGATCTTGCATATGCTTCTGTCTGCAGCTAGTCCACATTGAACTAAAGAATTCTATAGCAGCTAGGAACAGGAAGCAGCAGTATTTCTGACTCTCCCCTGCAGAGCCTAACTTTACTAGAGAGGTAGGTACTTATTATTCACTGGTGAAAGGTTCTCAACACCTACTGGAGAAACACCGCAGGAGGGGAAAAGAACATAAAATTAAACTGTTTCCCCAGTTATCAGACAAAGGAGCTAAGATCATATATACACATCCTTAACAGAATGGCGACTTTTGAGCAAAAGTAGTTTCTCCAAGAACCAGCTCCTAGAAATGAAGTACAGGCACTCTTAGAACATCAGAGCTATGTATTTCAGCCAGCTTTTTAGACCATTCTAAATTAAAACTCTTAAACGGTGGGGAAAAGCATTACTGGCTGTGCATGGGTGTATGGAACTATGTTCCACTGAAATGGAATGAACTCATTTCTCTGTATAGGATCGGGAGTGGAGGGGGTTTAAGCTTGCTGTTGGAATGCTAGCTTTGCAGGCAAGTTCTCTGTTCCAGCCTGAAATATGATTCACCTGATGCAAAAAAGAAAAAAGCAGGAGTCTAGAGAGATGGATTTTAAAATATAGCAAGATTTACATAAAACATCTTCACCATCCACAGAACAGCATACACTGGAAAACAGAGCCTGTCCTACATGACGGCTTGTTTGCTACTGTCTCTACGAAGGCTCAGATTTAAACACAAAGAGGCATTAAATGCAGATGATGTCCTGTGAAAGAGCTTGAAAGGCCATTCTTCGTCTTCATGATGCTTCAAACCATCTCTATGGGTTTGTTTAGCAAAGCTATCTGTGTTCTTTTACAAAAACCCACAAGCTATTGGTCGACTCCAGAACAGCTACTCTCCGATGCCCTGTGGTGACTGGGTGAGAGCAGAAAGCCAGGAGGACATGGCTGACTTTGCACTTGTGAAGGCCCCTCCAACTGACTGTCCTGTATTAAAAAAGCAACAAAAAGATTTGCAGAAGGGGGTGGGGAGAGAAAGAGAAACAGCTTATCTTGTCTCGTGCTTAAGTGTAAAATTCAAATTTTAGTTTAAACAATAGTTCAAGGCTTGTAGTCTGATAATTTTTCTGCATGCATTACATCCCATCTCCTGACTCTGGCAGAATAAATTACCTGTTTAAAGCAGGACTCAAAATCTAAATTAACCCTTTATGAACAGCCAGTGCAGAACAGTAACAGTAAATCTCGAGTTGATTCAGGTTGTGGCAAGCCACGGTTACGCAGAAGGCTGTTGTGAAGAAAACACCACCAAAATTGCAAGGAGAGGACTGCGTGATGTTACGAATATTAGTGAAACACAAGGGAAGAAAGTTGGTTTTGGGATCAAATTTAGCATCAAGCAGCTCGGGACTTAATTGTTTAAAAGAAAAGCAGGTTGAGTTTGATCCAACCAGCTTTTCCACCCATGGAAAAGGGAAGAGGGGAATCCCCTTTGACCACCAAAAGGATGGCTGGGGATCATGGGAGCTGTAAAGAGAACTGAGTGACACTGAGCAAAAATGCTGTCTATATCCAATCTCATGTGCTCATCTAGCCCATAATTAGTAATTGGGGTGTGGGAGGAAGAGGAACAAGATATATAATATCGGTGCCTCATCTTGCACCTGCAGACTCTTCCTTTGGTGGATGAGATGGATAACATCAAGCTTCCTGGCTTCCTTCTTCACTGTGTCTTGGCTCAGCTGCCTTCCTGCGACCCCTTCAGAGCACCAAAGGTGCAAGCACAGATACATGGCTCGTTGCCGGGAGGAAGGTGCTACTGAGTATATATCTGCTGCTGACAGCACATCCTGGTGGTCGGGCTTCTTACCTACAGCTTTTCCTGTCTGTACAACGTTCCGACTGGTAGTGACCATGGCGTTGCCAATCTTCTTGCCCCGTTCGCTATTCTGAACAGAACTACGCAAAAGGGAAAAATACAGCATCATACAAGTGACTCAGGCATTTGGTGTCTGTAGAGTTGACTGTATCAGTTAAGGAATTAATATGGAGTAGGGGATCAGAGGTCTAGGAATCTTTAAAAAATCTCAAGTTTTTCATAATATTGGCATCGGAATCAGAGTAGTTCTAGCAGTTGTTTATATTACAACAATCAGTTCTTCCTAGAGTATAAGCCCCAACTGAAACCACGAAGTCAGCCCACAAATGTAATGAAGTAACATATAAGCATAGTTAAATACGGTACTTACTGTGATAATCTTAATTTTACATCTGAAACTGAATATTGACCTTGGAATGGGTGACTGGGGAGGATGAGGGAGGGGAAAATGGGAGAAAACAGGAAAAGAATTTCAAATGTTTATTTGTCAGCTATAACAATAAGCCATCATTCTCTCAGAACTGAAATAGTTGAAAAACCACTCCCATTCTTGAAAACATAAGAGAAGCCAATGTTGGATCAGGCCAATGGCCCATTCAGTCCAACATTGTCACACAGTGGCCAAAAATACCAGGTGCCATCAGGAGGTCCATCAGTGGGGCCAGTTGCGGGGAGGGAGGGGGGAGGATCAGATGTGGGTACATGTCAGAGCCTCCCTTGAAGAGTGAACAAGAATGCTTAGTATAGACCCCTGTCAGGATTTCCTATGCTCTATGCCAGTTCCTCTTTGTTGTCTTCCCTACATGGAGACTTCAAGTGGTTCCCTGATTCTTAACTGGTTAGTCCATACCGAATCACATTACAGTTGCTTTGAGTCTTCTTGGCCTTTCTCTCCCACTTCTGGCTTGAGTAGCTGTATGTGTAACCAGGGTCCAGTTGCCAATCTGCCCCTCTAAGCAACATTTTTTGGGGGTATTTTTGCATTTGTGTGTCGGGGCATGAAGATTGTTCAGAAAAGTGGCTTGATAGCCTACTTCAGCCTCCTGGCCCTGGTATTCTTTGGAGGTCTCCCATCTAAATACTTGCCAGGGTCGGCCACGCTTAGCTTCCGAGATCTGATGAGAATCGGGCTTCCCTGGACTATCCAGATCAGGGCCAAGCAACAGTTTACAGGGCTAATGAAGCAGAATGTGCAATAAACCAGGGCTACACACACTACCCAAAGCGACGTTCAGAAGCAGAGGTCAATGCAATATCATGAGCACAGGTAAGAGAATCTCCAAAATTACTTTCTTTCTGCATATCTAAACTGAGATCTGATTCACAAAAGCTTATGCCAAAGTTAAATGTTGTTAGTCTTTATGGTGCCACTGGACTTTATTTTGCTACAACAGACTAAGATGGCTACCCCTCTTATGCTTGTAGATTGGCCTTAACATATTGTGTCTGTGAGGAAAACTAAACACAGCTGGGGTACAAGCTACGGGGAAAAAATATATGTGGGCAGGCCTCTTCTAGAAACTGCAGTGTATAATACTGGGCCCACTGCTAATAGAAAATACGAGCTCCTGGCCTCACCGTCTTCTTAGAAATTAAGTGACACACAAGTGCTTGAGAACCCACCAGGCGTGTCTTAAAGCCAAGTTTCCCTCAGTAACTGGTTCCCATGGGACTTAGTTGGGAGTAGGGCTGTCCCAGAACTACAATTGATTTCCAGACTACAGATATTGTCTCTCCTAGAGAGAATACCTGGTTCAGAGGGGGGGATTCTAGTATTATATCCTGCTGAGGTGCCTCCCCGGGTTCTGCCCCGCCCCACATCTCCAGGAATCCCCCATCTAGCTGTGACCCACACATGGTGGCTGTCCAGAATCCACCCAGTCTTCCCTCTAGGCAATCCTTCCTGCTCCTAGGTTAGCACTGTACAACATCTCTGGTCTGAAATGAGGCTGGAGAAGAATGCTAATATTTTCCTTATATATATATTCATAACACTTCACCCCCATTGTATTCCCCCTTCTGCTGCTTGGGCAGCCCCCCCCCCCCCGGTTTTCTCCCTTGCTCAAGTGATCCCAGCCTATCATGGATCACTTACTCAGTACATGGATGCTGAATAGCTTATTAGATTTGGCTATGTGCAAGCATCCCCAAGGGCAAATTAAAGCCACATACGGTAGTGCTTCCTTTACTGTGGCCAAGACTACTTAGTTCGCCAGTTCTCTCCTTTCTTAGTGGCCACACTGATTGATGCTTCTGTACCCTCAAAACTGGATGACTGTAACATGCTCCAATTTGGGCTGACCTTGAAGACAATACGGAAATTGCAGCTGGTCCAGAATGTGGTCAGCCTGATCGCTGTCGGGGGTTAGCCGATGGAAACATTTTTTAAAAAGAATTATATCCCGCCTTCCTCCTTGATCAGGGACTCAACGTGGCTTTTTCACGTAGCTCCCCCGTCCTCCACTTAACCCCAGCCACAACAGCCCAGTGAAGATAAGTCAGGCTGAGAGTTTGTGATGGGCCCAAGGTCACCTGGGTGGGCTCCCATGGCCGAGTGAGGGACTAAGATCTGGTCACCCCAGGCCCTAGTCCTAGAGTCTGTCCACTACACCACACCAGTCCCATGGCCAGTTTGTTTCCAAATTCAATTAAAGGTGTTTCAAAGCCTTTCACAGCCTGGGGCCTGCATAGCCGAAGGACCGTCTCTTCCCACACGATCCTGTGTACCAATCAGAGTCTTTAGGCCTTTTCCACCACGGCCCCCACCAATGTTCCCTCTAAGCTGTAGAGTTCTGTGAGCAAAAATTCTACTTTGTGAGCTACCGGCATTAAAGTTGTGAGCAGTTGATTTGGCTACTGCATAAATTAGTGTGTTCTGGAGCCATTCTTCCTGAGCTGAGGTAAAAATGTGTGAGCCGGAGGCTAAAAAACTGTGAGCTAGCTCACACTAACTCAGCTTAGAGGGAACACTGGCCCCCACATTCTACAGTGGACTCCTTAAAGAGGAGAGGGGAACGACCTCATTGAAGATCTTCTGAAGATGCAGCAAGGTGCCCCAACCTGGATAAGCCAGGCAAGCCTGATGTTGACAGATCTCGGAAGCTAAGCAGGGCCGACCCTGGCAAGTCCTTGGAAGGGAGACCTCCAAGGAATACCAGGGCTGGGACGCAGAGGCAGGCAACCAATGAAAGTTGTAAGAAGTGGTTCCTTTTTCCCTCTTGGCTCAAGACTGCTCGGAAAAAAACGTCCTAACCCCACTGGGGTCGCCAGAAGTCAACTATGACTTCTAGGCTCGCAAATGCACACACACGCACAGATACTCGCCCCCCCCCCCCAAAAAAAAACAATGCGGCAAGGCTTGTTTGCTTGGCAGGCAACTTGGGGTGGAGAGGTATTTGGGGGGTTTAGTCGGTTTAAACCTGTAATGTTTTAACAGCTACTTGTAAGCAGTCTTGAGCCAAGAGGGAAAAAAGGAACTGCTTCTCACAACTTTCACAGCCAAAGAGGGCAGACTTTTTTTTTTTTATAAAGTTTTATTTCCCTCTCCTAAAAAGGAGAGGATTTTGCTTTTACAATTAGAAAGTTAGGAAGGGGATATAGAGGGATAAAGAAAAGTGTTGAGTGATGTTAAGTATTAGTAAATTAAACTTTTTAAAAAAAATTAAAGTTAAAGTCTAAGCTTCTTCTGTGGTTAGGTGATCTTCTTTTCTTCTCTATTTTTCAAAACCAAATAGTTAATATGTTAGTAGTGTCCCTTTGGGGTTAGTATTACTTTTATAGCGTAATCCAAAATAGTTAGTTTTTGGGGCCTTTCCCTTTTTTGTCCCTCAAGTTGTACTTTATGCCAGTCGCTCCTTTGTCTTCCTCATCCTTCACCTCTCCCTCAGAACTGCTGTCCTCTCCGCTAAAAGAGGGCAGACTTTTGATACTGATGTCCATTGTTGTGAAATGGGCCTCACACATTGGGTCGGTTGTAAACAAACACAAAATCTTAGTGTCTTACCTAGGATTTACCTCTGCGAGAGCTGGGTGTTTATTGCTGTTCCACACTCTGTAATTGTGTGTATTCCTCCAAGCGGCTACAAAGGCTGCTCCGAAGTCTGACAGTATTTTTTCATTGTCTAACAAATACAATAGATACACTGAGTAGTTCTGTAGCATTTCATGTGCTCATGAGTACATCCATGAAAAAGTACAGTGATTGTATGGGAAATAGTATACATGAAACAGATAATGGAGGGCAGCAGCTATTCAACAAGGGGAAAAGCTCACTGACTGAAAATGAAAATTCAGTCTGTTATATGCTTTTAGATGAGACATGGGAATAAAACGTAGAGACACAGCATGGTAGTGTGGTAAGAACAAGTTATCAAGTCAGCTGCATTTGGAGAGGCAGGACATTTTCTTTTCATGCGTCTCGTTCAAGCCCTGGCCTCTCACTCACTGCATGAGACTTTTATAAACACAACTCTGAGCCACAAACCTCCAAATTCTACATCAGGGAAACCCAGCTGCTTTAATCAGAAAACATTTTTTTCCCTTATCAGTGGGTTCGTAGCTAGTTGATGAGCTTGTACAGTGCTAAGAGCCTTAGCAACAAATAAAGAAGTCCATGGCTTGAGTCTCATTCCCGCCTTAAGATGACAAATTTCGTTGGAAAGGGATGGGGAAGAGGACAATCGTGGACGTGTCCCCCGAGCTCCTTAGAGAGAGGATGGGCTGCAAATACAATCCCAGAAGACACAACTAAAGAAACAGGGGAATCTTTTGCAAGCTACTCCCTCAGCTCCAACCCCCATCTACAACAATAAAATGATAACCAGATGACTCACGCTTTGAGAGCGCACTGCAGCAAAGGAATGCTGATATGCTATTATTATCACCCAAGTATCAGCAAAGAATCTGTAAAACATTTTGGCAAGTGCCAGGGGTGGCAGATGGCAGAGCAGAGACAGATCGCAGTATGTGGGCAAGCACCCCCCACACAGCCCACCAGCTCTCACACATGGAGCCCTAACCATGAACACCAGGAATCTGTGCTGTCAAAGAAGGTCTTTTTTCCAGGGAGACAGACTCTCCAGCAGGCACCACTCTCTGTGCTTGGGCAGCAAGCTGGCAGACACACGCCTGGGTGGGAATACAAGAAGCCCTCTTTCTTACATGCTGCCAGCTGTGTGCAAGCCAGGCCTACCCTTCTCCCTGAATCTTCTTTTTTCCTTCCTCCTCATTAAACTTTCCTAAGTGTTATGCGAAAGGCATAAAATGCTTAAAGGAGTTATAAAGAGAGACTATGGTACCGGAGCTTACCTGGCTGGAGTGTGGCAGCCAGCAGCGCATGGAGATAGGAGCCGAACTGAGCCCGGATCCATTCATCTCCTCCTTCCCAGCCGGTGCCGTCCAGGAATACATCGTCCCTGTTCTCCGTTACGTGCTTCACCAGGTAGTCTGCGAACCTCAGGTCAGCCGTCGTGGGATTCAGAACCTTCCTGAGCTCTGGGTCGTGGATTTGGACAAGAGCTTCTTCAATCTGTTGAGATTGGCCCCACATGAAAAAAAAAAGCCGTCCAGAGCAAAACGGAACAGAGCCATATTTCTTAAAAGAGAGCAATGAAATTCCATTGTGCAGTAAACCACAGCCGCATTTGGAGATGTGTGCGCTCTACTGCCCGACCATAAAGCCGGGGGTAAGGCAGCTTATTGATCAAGCTCCTGTGCATTGTAACTCACAATCATCTATTGACTCTGTCCAGTCCCACCTATTTTCTCCTTGCGGTAAACTGTGGCACGGATTGCACCCCCTTTTTTCTCCCATCTTTCACCTGGCACAAATAACTGCTCTAGGTTTTACCTGCTCTTCTGGTCCCTTTCAACTCAGCAAGGTCAGTTACAGCCGGGGCTGCCAGTGGGGATGAAGAGACACGCCATGCAACATGGAAACAAACTATTCTACAGGTCACGATACGAGGTGGGGGGGAGGCTGTTTCAAGCAACTACCACGTGGGAGCCCCAATGTGTGCATTAGCTTGTGCAAATGCAAAGCCGCATGCATTTTAGTCTGGCATTTTTTTGGGGGGGGAAGGAGCCCTTATGCAGCCTGCAAATAACTTTTCAGATCAGCCTCCCGCCTGCTAACAGGAAACCAAATCAGATCCTTCCAGCTGGGAAACGTTTCATTCATTTCAAAATATATAACCTGCTTTCCTCCCTCAGCGTCTTATTGCCCCTGGCACGTAACCTGGCCCCACTGTTCGATGTGACCCAAGTGCCATTAACAGTGTTTCCTGAAGCTGTACAGGGAGAGGATATCCCTACCTCTACAATGGCATCGCTTAGATGCTTCTGCTGACGGAAGAGGATGTTGGTGGCTCCTGCAACGAAACCACGAATGGTTACATCAGAGAGGAGGTGGTGCTGCTGCAGCGCCATGTATGGCAAGCAAAGATATCCCTGGAAAGGAAAAGAGAAGTGATTAGCTGCAAAGGAAAAACAAAAGGCTTGATGGGGAAAGAGATGCCATGTTCTTAGATGCTTACAACAGGAATGTCTAATGTGTTTAGTAATTATAATGTGTACTAAGAGACCCCCTTCCAATGCAGAATTCATGTTTAGTGTTAACTGTACTGGAACAGTGTTACTTTAATTGAGCAGAATGGTTATTATCAACCAATCAAGGAACAACTTGACCAGGTCTTAGGGATGGTTCAGATGCAACACCAGAGCGTGATTTGTAACCACATGGTCAATGCCCATGCTCCCATTAAATCCCAACTGACTGGTGACTTCTGCAATAGCACAGTTTACCATCTGAACTAGGGCTTGCACTCCCCATCCGAAACAAGAAGAGACTGGCTTTATACATGGCACTTCACTACCCGAAGGAGTCTCAGAGAGGTTTACAATCTCCTTCCCCTTCCCCTCCCCACAACAGACACCCCGTGAGGTAGGTGGGGCTGAAAGAACTCTTTTGAGAGCCGCTCTTGACCGAACAGCTCTGAGAGAACTTGTAACTGACTAAGAAGAAGAAGAGATTGGATTTATACGCCGTCCTTCACTACCCAAAGAAGTCTCAGCAATGTTCCCTCTAAGCTGTGGAGTCCTCTGAGCAAAAATTTTACGTTGTGAGCAGGTGATTTAGCTACTGCAGAAATTAGTTTGCTCTGGAGCCATCCTTCCTGAGCTAAGACAAAAAATGTGTGAGCTGGAGGCTAAAAAACTGTGAGCTGGCTCACACTAACTCAGCTTAGAGGGGACACTGAGTCTCAGAGCAGCTTACAAACTCCTTCCCCTTCCCCCTCCCCACAACAGACACCCTGTGAGGTAGGCGGGGCTGAGAGAGCTCTTGACAGAAACTGCTCTTTTTCAAGGACAACTCTTATCAGAACTATGGCTTGCCCAAGGTCACACCAGCAGCTGCATGTGGAGAAGTGGGGACTCAAACCCGATTCTCCCTGATTAGAGTCTGTGCTTCTGACCACTACACCAAACTGCAAACTGTCTTCAAGCCAGGATTTGCAATATCGGTTTGGAGGAGAAACTCAAGCCATTCTTTGCTGGTTCAGGTGTAACATCAAAGTGTGGTTTGTGGCAGAATGCAGTTATTGACTATGTGGAGCACCTGAACATAGGGCTCATTCACACAGCATTGCAGCGCAGTGTGGCATTACATCTGAACCATCCTTTGGTTTAAATCCAGCCCGTTCATGCCTGTAGAGCATAGCTTCGAGGTGCCAAATGACCACAGGAACAAAACTGTCCCAACTGCAAGTCCAGTTACCATAATCTTTGGACAGTGAACAAAAGGCTGAAACAACAGAGACAGATGTACAAGCATTGTAAAGCCAAGAAATACCAAAAAGCTGCCTTTTTAAAGCAGGAAGTTTTAACAGGAAAATGTGACCACTCCCTGTGATTCTTCTGTGGTTACTCGGTTTTATAAGCGTCCCTCTCCTTCCCACAAATCTAAACACAAAGAAATTCAGTTGTGGGCCACTCCCTCAAAGTCATCACAGGGGGTGAATGTTTATAAAAGTGAGCAGCCATGGAAGAATGACAAGGAAGTCACCTTTACAGTGAATGTAGGGGTCACCCCGTCAACCTTCATTGTATAAACTTGCTCAAAGAGAAATCTACACAGTTACTATCAGAGGTCACCATACTTTCCCAGTCAGAATTTCCCAAAGTGAGGGTTACGGAGCAAATGGCTGTATTTCCTGTGCTTGATATTTTCCTATGCCATCAATTATGTTAGAACTTCCCAGAAAACTTTAGTGGTTTTTTTTTTAAAAAAGTCTTTGAACAAAGTCCTTTTATGTAGCTTACACCCTGATTTCAAAGGAAAGCACTGAAGGCATAATAGTTGAACATTATAATAGAAGAAGTAAAATGCCAGCCCACTTCCAGCTGCTGCCTTAGAAAAATTGTGGCATTTAACTAAAAAGGGCTGCAGGCACCCAGAGCAAAATGGGGATAAAAGGAAGCACGTGGCACAGGACCTGGCCGTCGGGAAACAAAGGCTAGGCACTCCTGTAACACAAACCTCGGGAGCCACCAGCAGATTGCTTTTAGTGCTGATTAAACCCTTCAGACCCTCAAAGACGACCGACGCATTCTCTGACTTCAGCATACATTCTCACATCAAAAAGGATGAGAGAAATTCACGAGCCATTCTCCTAAGGGTGGGTTTTAGCCACAATGGTTAACAGTGTGGGGGGAGGGATCTTCCACGTTCAGAGGCTTCTGCATCCTTTCTAAGCAACTGTGTGTGGCCCTTTCCTCTCATGGACTTGTGTGTTGACAGTGTAACTCCTGAGCCGTGAGACCTTCGTGAGCATCGTGTGCGGCAGGCTCCAGGAACTGATGAGGCCGGGCAAGTCCTGTGCTGAGCCCCAGAGCTACAAAAGGGGTTACTGACCAACAACGAGCATTGCTTCCCTGACTGGGATGAGATCTGTCTGGGCCTTGAACTGTACGGGCATGTCCAGACGTTCCCACTGATGGCGCAGAGACTCTGGGATGGTCTCTCAGCTCACTTGCCTCATTCTCCTTTACTTTCATTGACAGTTACGAGGTCCCCCTTGGACAAGTTTCCCAAAAGCTGGACATTCCCAGCCTTAGCACTCCAGCGGCTCAGCTTATACATCAGACAGCTTCAAGGACTACTGCCCACTCATTTACCCTCATTTTTCTCCCTGGCAAACTGGCAACAGGATTATTTTTCCAAAGTATGCGTGGCGCTTTGAGTAAACCCCTCATCTGTCCTGCTTCAACAGTGTTAAATACACCTTTGCACTCAAAATCTATTAAGATCTAAATCTGGAGCGCTCACTGTCCAAAAGCAAGGCCTTTTAAATCAGCATCACCTAGGAGACTGCACTTCACTTTTTTGGGGAAAAGGGCCATAAGATTTTGGTAACTCTCTTACCTTGGTGAAGATGGCTAAAGGCATGCCATACTGGTCCTCTTCTAAACCAGATATAAGTCCAGGAACAAACACTGTGTGCCCTGCCTTCGGTTGAGGCTGCACAGTAATTGGAATGGTTTCAGAGACCACCAATTCCTTTGGAAGGATTTCAAGCTGCCCCGCTGTCGCAGAAGGGTCATGTTCTCCTTTCGAGTTGGGGTCCTCCAGGACATTTGGATCTAAGGTTTCCCAGTCGCTCTCAGAGGACTCCGGAGACGTGCGGGAAGGAGGTTTCAAATGCTGCCCCGTGTCATTGGAAGCCTGTGTTTTGAAGGCGTTATCCTCAGTCTCAGGTACAGGCATATCTGCCTTCTGAGTCGCCAGTTCTTGGTTTCCCAACAAAGTCTGGCTTTCCTCAGCCCTTCCTCGGTCTGAACTGGGGAGATCCACAGCAGAGAGCGAAATATAATCCTCAAAAGGGAGAGCAATTCCCTGGTGGACGGTGTCATCAGATACCCTCTTTCTCGGCCGGTACTGTGAACAGTCAGTAAGACCGTGGTCTATCATACCTGGAACCGGAGGTACACCAATCAAAATCAATGACAGCGAAATAGAAAGTGAATTTAAACGTAGTAATGCAACATACTGCACAACATAGCCTGGTGTGGATTGTGGTGGTGCTGAGGGAAGGGGGGCACCATCCTCCCCCCCCCACGTTATTAATTAATTAAAATTCCCTACACATGTGTCTACTGGGGAGGAGAGAGAATATTTATTTGTTTATATTTTCCTGCCCTGTTTTCCCCCCTACAATAGGGACCCGAAGCAGCTTATCATCATTCCCCTCTCCATTTTCTCACAACAGCCCTGTGAGACAGGTTAGGCTGAGTGTGCGCGTGTGACTGGCCCAAAGTCACCCAGCAAGCTTCCATGGCAGAGTGGGGACTTGACCCTGGGTCTCCCAGATCCCACAAAACTCTAACTGCTACAACACATTGGCCCTCCAACAAAGAAAGGGGCACCTGTCTCTTTACAACTAGGAACAACAACAACAACCTAGGAAGTGGTTTTGACTGGGGGGTGGGTGGGGGAGATGGTGCAGTTCCCCCCCTCCCCGGTGCCACAGCCCTGGTCTCCTCCACAGCTGTCGCTTAAAGCATCTGGGGAATCTGATCACACATTCTCCGTGCAACAAGTACTTTGCCCCTCAGTCTCCTTTCCGCGTGAAACATGAAAATGCAAGCACTGACATGGCCTCTAAGTCACTGATTCCCAGCAGTGGCCGCACATAACTGAAGCAGCTAAGAAAGAGCTACACCAAGTCATGAGAGTTGGGTCCCCTAATTAGATGGTGTCTGGGACACATTAAACACACGTATTACTCACTAGCTAGCCACTGTACTTGGGAGTACCAAAAAAAATAATAAATCCCCCTCTATCCCACTTTCAGGGCCTAGTGGCTGGATGACAGAAGGAAGCTACGCTCGAAGAGAATGGAGGGTTAGAGATAACTGCTCCAGTGTTCGGCGCAAGTAGCCTAGCTGTTGCTGCATCAAAAACCTCCTAATGTACCTGGCCTGCCAACTGCAGTTGTGTGGCTCGCTTATTAGTTGCACGTGCTGCTGTGCGTATGAGGAATGGCTTCCAGTGCAGCAGTGCAGACGGATCGCATGGGGCTGCCACTAGAAACGTTTCCTACTCCCAATGCAGTGGGGCTGTCCTTGCTGCTGCTGATAGTTTTGAAAAAAAAAATGCTAGAAAGCTGGGGCATACAACCCATAGCCCTTCAGGGGAAAATGAAAGGGGGATTCTCCCTTTCCCATGATTCTCGGCTCCAACCCGTGGCTTCTACATTTGTAGAATCTTCCTAAACGAAGGCTGCGCAAGCATCACAAATGTAGAAGCCACAGGTTGGATCCAGCCAGCTTTTTCACTCAACTCCCCTCCGTGCGACAGCCCCCATTCCACAGGTCCCGTGATTCTCAGTGTAGCCTTTTAGGGTGGTCTCTTTCCTTTTTTGCCAGCAGAAGAGCCGGTTGGATCCAACCCTATATCTTAGCATCACAGAGAAAGCGCCAAGTCTTATGCATGGCTGTATGCCTGACAATATCCAAGCTTAGCCACAGCCATTGGCTCAGTTCAGACCCTACATGAAAGCATACGTTTAGCTGTACCGCGGTTATTGTGATTGTCTAAATGCAGGCCACACTATATCTCAATATCAAACTGGGCTGTGAAGTCAGGATCTGAAGATGGTTTATTAACTCTGGTTTCACGTGATTTCTGAGTGCAGATTGTTTCCTGGGGATGCCTCCCCCAGGCGAGGGCGAGAGAGAGAGACAGAGAGGGCAGTGTCAGGGCAAGACCAGGATATGTGCAACGATGAGCTGAATCCTGGTTTGACAAGCTAGCCATAGTGCAAATAAACCACGGTTTTGCGAGGTGTCTGGACCGAGCCATTTTGTACTGTCGATACCGTTGGGGTGGTATGTAGGTTTCCCAAAGGAAGTAGCCCAAAGACACAGCCCCATCGGCTATTCAGCCTAATAAACTGAGTAAATGTGAAAGAAAGAAAGATTAACAGTGGCGAAATAATGTTCTCACCAGGAAAGAGCGATAATGCAGTCAGTAGTGCTCCCACCAACCTATTCACAGGTGAGATATAAAACAAAACCTGAAAGAGACAAAAAATTACAAAAAATTAATAGGAAATGCCCCTTTGACATGAATCCTGGGGCCTTTCGTTCAGATAGATGTTGAAAGACCACAACACGAAACCAGCACAGAGAACTTTCAAGCACTGAAGTTGTAATCTATATACTACTAGGCATGTGTGACCATGATCTGCAGATAGCTAAATCCGCGGATTGGGGCTATGGAGATTTTTATGCACACACTAGGGGGACACTTCAGGTGTGCAGAAAAATCTTTTAAAAAAATACATAGGGGGATCCCACCCACCCCGAAATATAATTGAATAGTCTGTGCACGCACAGACAACGGGATTTGGGAAAGCGGTTACAGCCGGGCACCCCAGCAGAGTAGGACGCCAGCTGCTGCTCCAGGACCAGCTGACACCGGCAGCCACTGTGAGCCTGGTGGTGAATGTTACTGGCACCCACTGCAGGAGAGGAAGCCAACAGCTGCCGTGGGCCCGGGCACCATGGCAGGGTACACTGGCAGCCACTGCATGTCCAGGCAACACATGGGGGAGAATGGCAGCTGCTGAGAGCCCGGGATCGACAGGTGAAGACACTGGCAGCTACTCCAGATGCCAGCTGCTGGGCTCAGCAGTGTGTGTGGGGGGTATGGAATCCCCCCCACGAGTCTTGTGGGTCCCCACTTGTTACCAATATTTTGTTTTTACTGACACTAGTTAATGACAGGAAACCTGGCAGAGGTGAAGTAGAATGCCAGCTCTATCCAGAACCTGTAAGTAAATAGCAGATTTCTTTATTTGTAGCCTGTGCTGTTAGTACTTCCTGAAATATCTAGACCACGTAGTCTGGTCCAGCATAGCTTTGTTTTTTCCCATTCCACTGGGTGACATTCTCAGGAATTATTTTTGTCATCCAAGGGACTGGCCACGCCAAATTGCAGGCGGGCAAGGAGAAAGCATCCCTGTTTTACCGGTCATTTTTGCTTGCAGAGTGAGCACAGGGAAGTGTTTGGCAGCCCACAAAGGCAGCTGGCATGGCAGATCTTGTGACTGGGAGCCTCCAAGACAGGCTGGCAGAGTTACAGGACAGGGACAGAGCCTTTGCATGCACCGCTGGGAAAAGACAGGCAGCAGGACAGACACAAGAGTAGAGCTGGCATTTCAGAGTCCCAAGGCAGGCAAGGCAGCATTAAAGAGAAAGACGGACACCTTGTTGATTGCACACTGGAAGGCAGACGCAGAAGGACTGAGGTTAGCTAGTATTCTCAGAGTATTGTTACTGTCACTGTCTCATCAGAGTATTGTTCAGTGAAGGCCTAATTACATGTTACAAAGTACACCAGACTAAGCTGTCAGACTGGGAGATTCTGACCACACAAAAATTCCAGAAATTGTTCATATATGGAGCATAATTTCAAACAGGCAAAGTTCAGGTTGGATTTTCATTAATAACATGAAAGGATCCTACCTTTTTCTCTAGAAGAATCAACTTAAAAAGAATTAAGACCTTGAAAATTTAAAAGAAACAAATCTTTAAGTCACCACCAGGAATTGGTACATACACTACTATTCCACTATAATATTTTCATTTATTAATTCTCAGTGGGTAAAGGTACAATGAAGGTCTAAACAAATAACTACATGATAACGTACTTTGAGGTCTGGCATCTACATGGATTAAAACTGATCATCAATTTACAGAAACTTCATACATATAATGAAACTGTTTCACTCATTCTTCCATTAAGAGAAGAATCTTCCATTGGAGAAAAGATTCCTTTCTCCATTGTAAGATTCCTCACTTAACAAAAGGGAACCACTGGATCCAACCCAACAGTTGTGTAGAATTTGCTCTTGTAACAACCACATGTATAACAGCTCTTTGGAACAGGTCATTAACGTTAACTAGACACCAATGGTGCACATATAATTCAAGGTCAATTTCTCACTCAGTTCTTTTGCACCACTTATGCAATAGCAAGTTATCACCCTGTGTACCAGAAAGAGTAAAATCTAATAGTCCTCGTCAAGCAGGAGAGAAAACCTTCCATTCCTCCTCAGCACTTACAGGTACAGACAATGTAAAGAGATGCTTAGATAAGGAGAAAGATGATAGCCAGGATGCAAAGACAATATTGACATCCAGTCTACTTTTGTGTCAAGAGGATAATCAGGAAGTTCAATTTTCCTGTTCATTAGAACAGCACTGATTTTGGCACAAAGCACAGGATCAAGCCTATGAAGACTATAAAAACGGGCAGCAGCTCATATGTTAAAAATGTCTGAACTGTAATGAAAATATGAGGCACATGAGCTGCATGTGTTACAAATCTAGATCAAGAAGAATATATACCTTGTGTCTAAACTGAAGGACAAGATCTCGTGGAGACAAACCTAAGAAAACAAGAAGAAAACAATTACTGCATTTGTTTCCCGTGAGTAGGACTTCCAAATATAAAAAGTTATACATGTTTTGCTACACATATGGCGAAACCTGCCAGCAACACGACTGAAAGATTTCATAGAATTTTGTTTGTATTCAACACTGGAAAATAGGCACTGTGTGGCTCACTGACCTGGAGTGTGAACGGGATTTCAGCCAGCAAAAATGCTTGCCTTACCCCCAGCAAATTCAGCAGAGAAAGAAGAGGATGAAGGCAAGTTATATGACCGATATCTTTAATAATGTAGCTGCTCGTTTTGAACAAGCACAGTCTTAAGGGAACTAGCTGAGCTGCTCACTTCACTGAGCAAATGGAATGCCAGGAATCCCACATAAAAGGAGAGGACTGGGGGGGTGGGGGGTGACTGGCCAGATAATTACTTAGTCCCATGACTGAAGGGGAAAGTAATCATAATTAGTAAATTATTCAGGAAACCCGACTTGGAACTGGAGCTTTTCTACACTCCAGGAAACCAAACATTCAACAGTTCGATCTTCTTTAGTAAGAGCTGCTTACCAAGGTAAACCTGTGAACCTTCCAGGGGGCTTCCTCCCAATGAGCTGTTCATATGTTCATAAAGCTCCTGAAAAAATCACAGATTTAGAAAGCATCAACAACATTAAATATAGGCAGCTATCAAAAGAACTGGAAAGTGAATGAAAAAGCCAAGCCCACTTCAAACAACAAGGATCGGCCAAAATAGTAAGAGCGCTGAAGCTATTTTAAAGGCACCACTAAAGACGTGGCATCAATCCAACAAACTCCTGCAGACATGGGCCATGAGCCAAAGAGTTACATTGCGTGTCCCAAGGCTTCTGCATGCCCTCTGAGACTTTTGAGCCTTGGCCCAGTGGATTCCTGTGCCATAAGTGACTAGAGATGTAAAATTTCCGGAAATTTTGAAGCTCGGGGAAAAAACCCGTTTTTTTCCCGGAAAAAACGTAGCATTTTTTTCCACTTTTTCCGAAAATTTCCATTAGCATTTCTTTTGTCTTTTCTAGTTTGATAGTCATTCTGTTACTTTAGGAACATAAAATATGACTATGGACATTTTTACTTGGCATGAAATGATCACAACTAGCATATTAAAAATATAGTGTATCCAAACAATTATTACAGAATACCCACCCACATGCAAAAACAAAACTGAAACTTTTTTATTTTCTTCTGACAATCGCACCTCCTAAAGGAAGAAATGCATCTTGTTCTTGCATTGGAGAGTTCAGTTTGTAATCTAGGACTTGCTTGTCCTCAGTGTACAGAAATTACATCAATCTGATACCATATATATATACTTTAGAAATGATTTGGAAAATATTTGAACACCTGGTCTTAAAATATTTTATTCATCATGTTAAAATAAAACGTTCCATAATCAATTTCTTTTCTTTTCTTTTTTCAATTTTTCGGAAAAAAACAAAAAAGGCTTCAGGAAAAAAATGGGAAAAAATTGTTTCCCCCCCGAATTTTTCTGTTTTTTTCCCAGGCCTTCACATCTCTATAAGTGACCTTTGAAACTCTTCCCATTGCAATGGGCCATGGGGCACGTATATATGTGCTGCTCAAGAAACACCAGTCTCTGGCATTCAGAACGAGTGGCATGCTTCAGCGGATCCTGGCCAAAGATTCCAACAAGTGCCTTCAATCTCTGGCCCTGCTCAGGCTGCCCTATTATTTCAATGAAAAAGGAAGTTCTGAAAATGCGGAGTAAGGAGACGTATCCTGCTGCATCTTTCTGCTCACGCAAGAGGCTGCGCAATTCTTACTGACTCCCTCTTCCAGCAGTGCATGTCTGAAACCCAACCCTAATCTATTCAGGGAGGGGGGCAGTCATGCACCCACGGAGATGGAAGCCCTCCTGTCATGGAAACTGTAGGCAGGATTCCAAGCAAAGCAACTTTAACCTTGCTGCTGTTTAGAAATCAAACAGATAAATGGGGAGGATCCCTACCTGGTTTAATACTACACAGAAACATTATTCTTCTAGCCACAAAATTCTGTATGTTTTTTAAAAGTCTAGCAAATTTGTATATTGAAAACCTACCTTGAGAATTGAAATTTGCGAGAAGTCCTTTTCTTCAAAATAGGCATGTGTAATTAGCTGCAGCTTTGCCTGGAGCAAACCATACAGAGGCTTGCAAGAAAAATACATCATGTTACATCCAGAAAGGAAAGGACCAACCAGGACATGATAGCTCTACATCTCTTGATCTGGTTGTATATAATTCCTGATTGCCCTGCACTCAGCCTCACATACATGCATCTTAAGTGTTACACATTTATACTTCACTTTTCTGCCAAATGGGTACATAAGAGAAGCCATTATGTATAAGGCCAATGGCCCATCCAGTCCAAAACTCTATTACACAGTGGCCAAAACCCATCAGGAGGTCTACCAGTGGGGCTAGAACTCCAGAAGCCCTTCCACTGTTGCCCCCCAAAGCACCAAGAATACAAAGCATCAGTGCCCCCGACAGAGTGTTTCATCTATACCTTGTGGCTAATAGCCTCGGATGGACCTCTACTCCATATGTTTATTCAATCTCCTTCAGAAGCTGTCTATGCTTACAGGCACTGCCACTTCCTGTGGCAGTGAATTCCACATGTTAATTACTCTTTGGGTGAAGAAGCACTACAGTGTATCTGTTCTAAACCTACTGCTCGTTAATGTCATTGAGTGCCCACAAGTTCTTGTATAGTTCTCTATCCCATGCATGATTCTGTAAACCTCTATCAAGTCACCCCTCAGTCATAATTTCTCCAAACTAAAGAGCCCTGACCTCTTTAACCTTTCTTTATAGGCAAAGTGTTCTATCCCTTTAATTATTTTGGTTGCCTTTTTCTGCATTTTTCCCAATGCTACAAAGTCTTTTTCGAGGTGCAGTAACCAGAACTGTACACGGTATTCCAAAGGAGGCCACACCATCAATTTATACAGGGGATTATGATACTGGCTGATTTGTTTTCAGTTCCCTTTCTAATAATCCCCTGTATAGCCTTTGCCTTTTTAAATTGCTGTCGCACACTGAGTTGACATTTTCAGTGAGTTATCTACCATGATTCCAAGATCTCACTCCTAGTCAGTCTCCACCAGTTCGGACCCATCAACATGTATTTATAGTTAGGATTTTTGGCTCCAATGTGCACTACTTTGCACTTGCCCACCCTGAACCTCATTTGCCACATTGACACCCACTCGCCCAGCCTTGACAGATCCCTCTGGAGCGCCTCACAATCCTCCCTGTTCTCACCACCCTGAACAACTTAGCGTCATCCGCAAACTTAGTCACTTCACTGCTTACTCCAAACTCCAAATCATCAATGAACAAGTTATAAAGCACCAGACCTAGTACCAAGCCCTGTGGTGCCCCACAGCTCACCATCTTCCACTGTGAAAACTGCCCACTTATACTTACTCTCTGTTTCCTATTAATTAACCAGTTTTTAATCCACAAGAGGACTTGTCCTCTTAGCCCATGACTACTGCGTTTACTTAGGAGCCTTTGATGAGGAACTTTATCAAAAGCTTTCTGGAAGTCGAGGTAAACAACATCTACAGGGTCACTCTTCTCCTCGTGCTCGTTCACCCCCTCAAAGAACTCTAAAAGTTTAGTGAGACAAGATCTTCCCTTACAGAATCCATGCTAGTAGCTTTTGTTCATCAATGTGCCCACTAATCCTATCTTTAATAACGGATTCCACCAACTTACCTGGTATTGACATTAGACTGACCAGCCTGTAATTTCCTGAATGATCTCTGGAACTTTTTTTTTGGTAGGAAAAGAAGCTCATACTACTCTCCTTTCCCCCATTTTATCCTCATATCAACACACTGAAGCAGGTTAGGCTGAGGGACTGGCCCAGATCGACCCACCGAGCTTCCATGGCATACGGGAATTGAACCTGGATCTCCCGGATGCTAGTCTGACACTCTAACCAGCAAGCAGTGGGATCCTTTCCCATTGCACCATGGGATATACTAATTAGAACTGTTCTCACTTTAAGAAGAGAAGAGACTGGATTTATACCCCGCCCTTCACTACCCAAAGGAGTCTCAGAGCTGCTTACAAACTCCTTTCCCTTCCCCTCCCCACAACAGACACCCTGTGAGGTGGGTGGGGCTGAGAGAACTCTGACAGAAACTGCTCTTTTTCAAGGACAGCTGCTCCAGAACTATGGCTTGGCCAAGGTCATCCAGCCAGATGCAAGTGGAGGAGTGGGGAATCAAACCCGGTTCTCCCAGATTAGAGTCCGCGCACTTTAACCACTACACCAAAAAGCATGATACTTTTTTTTTTTACCGGACGTATCAATTTGAAAAGAAACTTTTGCCAAAGATTCCAGCACTTATGATATTTTTCAAGAACAGGGAGTCTAACATAAAAGAAACATCAAAAAGCCAGACTGTTTTCTAGCCATATCTCTTCGCTTACCAGCTGACTTAGGACACAGACACTTTTCTGTACAGTTTCTCTGGTAATATCCGCCTGCCGTACTTTCAATGCCTAAAAAAAAGAAATAATTTTTTTACTGTATTTTTACTCATAATTTTTTTACTGTATTTTTACTCATGCACAATTTTAAAACATGTTAGAGATTCCCCCCCCCGCTACAAGGCCACTTATAATTTATTATTGAATCACTTATCACTGTACAAAAATTACAAGGATGGATGGGTACCTTCTGCAGGTATTTACCCTGATCAAAGACAAGAAACATGGGGGGGGAGGAAAGGGGAGATGTCACTCAAGGAAAAGGCACGTTTTAAGTAAGTGCTGAAGATAATCTGATGTCAGGTGGAAGAGGGATTCACATTTGGGAGCCGCATGGGAAGAGACAGGAGTAAGTTAAACTGGGACCCTGGGACCTGTTGAGCAAAAATTTTTGGAAGGCACACACAGAGCAGACAGATGTGAAGGGGTGCAACCGCAGAGACAGGAAAGAAACAACAGAAGCAGCTTGCTATAAATCACAGAGCGCTACTGTAATGGTTCCTTGTTTTGATGTGTGTGTGTTCCTTTAAATGTTAGTTTTACTGCAGTAATGCAAGGAAGACAATAGGGGGAGATGTGTGTGCTGTGATTGGCTGATGACTGAGAGTGTGGGAGGAGTTGTTCGAGAGGAATTTCTGTGTGTGTGTTTTATGACAGTGTTCTGTGTGTGTGTCTTTGGAGAGTGAAGTGTGAAAAGCTCTAAAGAGAGTCTGTGGAACTCTAAAAGTTTTGTGAGAGAGACTATATATATAAAAAAACAAGCTGTGTCTAAACTGTGTGATTAGACCAATTATTTATCTTGTGTGGAAAAGTCAAAGAGTTTAGTCGGTTTGGCTACATATATGACACAGAGAGAGAAGCCTGTCAGAATGGGATTTTGGTGTCTGAGAGACTGAGTTTGACACCAAGCTTGCTAGTTATATTTTACAAGTTCCTTTTCCCAGAAACCTATTTTGTTCTTATTTCAATAAATCCTTTATTTAAATATATCCCAGAATTCAGTACAGTACTTCCTCAGGGCCACATAGTCCTCTGAAGTGTCCAGACCCTGGGTTACACTACCAAAGCAGAGAGATTTGGAATTTTTAATTCCTGGTGGCAGCAGAAACTACCAAGTTATATACACAAAGTGTGAATTAAAGGTAAAACCATTTCCCCTATAAGCAAGCACGTCACAAAGTATGATTTAAACAGTCCCCTCTAATAGGAAGGACGCCACAGCTACTACTTGAGAAACAGACTACTAAAGGCTCCCTTTGGGTTAAAGAATTAGTTTCTCAGTACTTTTGGGTCCTGGTCATATGCTCCAAAATATTCTCATTGATTTTCAGCAGATTTCTCTGTTGGAATAGATGAAGACCCCATCACTCAAAACAGACCAGGCATGCATGGAGTTTTTTCATTCCCAGGTGCATCTGACCCGTGGCGTTGCCTCCATGATGTAAAGAACTGCCAGGGGTCTGCTCAGCATGCTTGCAGACTGCTGCTCTCAGAGAATGCTCTCCACACACAGTGGGAATGTCCTATTCGTACTCCAGCTGGGCAGTCCTCAGTTCAGTGGGGCACCTGACATATATTTCCAAGCCCTGTGTGTGCCAGAAGCCTATGGGCATCAGAGACATTGGACAGGAGGGAAAGCTTCTGGTATCAAAGACTTTGAAAAGTACTAGGGAGGAGAATTAAAAAAAAAAACACCTCAGCCTCAGATAACTTGATAAGAGGGGCACCTTTCATTTGTCCTTTGTACTTCTATCAAGAACCCAGCACCAAAAAGTTTTGCCTAATTAAAAACAAACAATTATACAGTGTTTGATTAATTGTATTATTTCCTTAAACTTGATTTTTATTTCAATGTGTTTAATTTTATACAAGCCTTAACCTCGGTTCTTCCAATGGTAACCAGTTCACCAAGATACATCCATCAATACCAATACTTTTTAAAAAGAGGAACAGAAAAGAGAGAGAGGAACAAACACTCAGCCAATACAAATAACTATTCTGGACATGTGGATTTCCAACCACAGCTTCCACTATGTATTTAAAGCATTTTTAGCCACCTTTCTCCAATACTGGAGTCATGGCAGGTTACAATGATAAATGTTTATGCACCAACAAGTCACTAGAAATAGCAGTTCAATACCATATATAAAGTAAACAAAAGTTTATGCTTGTCCATTAATGTCTTCAGCTGAGGCCCCTTTTCTCTCTCTCACTCTGTTTAACCAGGAATACGACCATTTCCTGCAGTGGCAGCCAGTGTTCCCTCTAAGCTGAGTTAGTGTGAGCTAGCTCACAGTTTTTTAGCCTCCGGCTCACACATTTTTGTCTCAGCTCAAAAAGGATGGCTCCAGAACACATTAATTTCTGCAGTAGCCAAATCATCTGCTCACAACTTTAATGCTGGTAGCTCACAAAGTAGAATTTTTTCTCACAGGACTCTACAGCTTAGAGGGAACATTGCAGCTCCCTAGCAGAATCGTTTCCCCACAACTCTTTGCCTTGGTGCCCCTTCAGGGTTAGACGCCATTTGCCCAGGCTTTTTGTCGAGCTGGTTGAGCTTTCTGTGTCATTTTTTTTAAGGTCATGCTGCAAGCCTCTGTAGACAGCTGTATAGTATTAGCTTTGTGACTGAAATGTTTTTGACTGTTTTTAACAGTGACTTAGCCTGTGTAATTGCTGCATGTAACTGAGCTCGTGCTTGAGCATTTGCGGGATCAGGGCTATTTTTGGGCAGGAGCGCACAGGAATGAAATTCCGGCTGGCTCCCAAGTTGGCCACACCCAGCAGGAACTCATTAGCATAATAGGCCACACCCCAAAAAGAAACTCATTAGGATTGGCTACGTTAGGGGTGTGTGGCCTAACATGCAAAGGAGTTCCTGCTACAAAAAAGCCCTGGGTTTTGACAACAAACAAGGTAAACAGAATAACAAGCAAAAGGTGGGTGTGGCTGGATAACCACACTTCTGGTAACATGGGGGTGCAGCCTAATGTGATAATGAGCTGTGCTGTCAGGGGTGTGGCCCAATATGCTAATGAGTTCCTGATGTTGGGTGTGGCCTATTATGCTAATGAGTTCCTGCTGGGCTTTTTCTACAAAAAGAGCCCCGTGCGGGATATAAACTTTTACAAGAAACCCAGTAATTCAGATTAACTGCCCCAAAGCATCAGATTCTATTTAAATGCAAAGATAAGACTTTGTATCACTGTGTAAATTCTTTTCTTTTTTTAAAAACAAAAGGAATAGTTTTTGTGGGACAAAAACTGATACATTTGCCATGAGAAGATGCAGGAAACATGTAACATTATATCAAAGGAGATTCTAACTTTCCAGTTTTTAAAAGTAGATTAGGAAGAAAAACAACTAGATTTTTACAATGAGATCCTCCTTTGCTTATTTCTCCTTGGTGTTTTCACTCGTTTTCTCTTCCGCAATCAAGATCTAGCCCCTATACAATGGTTGAAGTAGAACATAATGGCCCAGTTATTAAAATGAATTCAGGTCCTGGAATTCAGGTCTTCCCACTTAGCAGGCTACATTTCATACGGTAGCTTCTGCACAAAGCTTTTTATTTTCTTTTTCTAAGATTCACACAAATGAAACCTACCTTGGCTTCAATCTGCCTATAGCATGAGACACCATATATGGTATTTCGATCCCCACATCTTGGTGGCAAGTGGAAAAAAACCGTATCTGAAAAGAACACCTCAGAATTTACTAACATGGTATGGAACCAAGGCTTGACATCTCTACAGTGTTGTCCTTCACACTGTAACCTTATGGATCAATTTCCCCACCAACAGCATGCCTAGGAAAAACTGCAGATGCCATGGTGTGGTACAATGGCACCCGTGGCATGCAGGGCCAAGTCAAGTTATTGTGCCACTGTAGGTGAAAATTGATTTTGATCCCCACTCATCCATCTTTTAAAACACCAGCCCCCATTAAAACAAGTTTTACTCCAATGGCATCTTTGCAGGATAAAGTTGGTCTTAAAGGACTCAAACTTTGATCTGTTACATCAAACCAACGTGGGTACCCACCTGAATCTAGCACCCATTAAAGTAATTTTTTCCAAATATTTGTTGTACAAAGGGACTCACTGATACCACAAAATGTTTGCAAGTCCACAGATACCATTTTCACACATTCCAAAGATTAATATGCAAAATTAATTACTGCTATTCTTAGACAATTTGAAACAAACACAAGTGGATTGTCTTCTGCAGCAAAGGTTGGCCACTGGAGGTCCCTGAGCCAAATCTGGCCCTTTGCACTGCGTTGGACCTCAAGATGGAGAAAATTGACAAGCGGGGCAAAGAACTTGGTGTCAGCCATTCGGCTGCCTGGGAGATTGGTCCTCAGGAAAACTAGGTACTGACCAGGGTTCTGTAGATATAAAATTAAGGAATCGTCTAAGAATGAGCTCCCAGGGACCAACTGGTGTTAACAGAATAATGAGTATCATTGACAAACAAGCAAATTGCCTGAATGGCAACCTTGCAGGAAATACTTGCTTACCAGGAGATGTGTCTTACCTCCAGCCAGCAAGGAAAATGCAAGACCCAGGAGAGAACGCTTTCAACAGAACAGGTCTGATTGCTCTGTTGCTATGATAGCCTTGTAACAACTACTCTCATTTTGTACCCAAACCTATGCACTTTAGAGGCTTGTTGCTGTAGTAACAGATTGGCCAGCAGCTGTGCTTCGACTTCGGCATTTTGGGTTGTGATTTTCTACAAACACTTCGCATGGCACAGCAGAAGCAGGTAAACATTAAAATTGTTAGTGCACAGTCTCTGCTGTCTTGTATCAAATGTGAATACATGACGTTTTGCAGTGTTTATTCTACTATGCAGAATAAAAGGAGTCTTTCAAAACTTATTTGTTATGGCCTAGATACACGACTTTCTTTTAAAAATGAAAATGAAACCACAGAGCACTGGATGGAACCTCCCCAACAGACTACTCACCTTCTTGATAATTGTGAGCACCATCTGGCAACGCAAGGAAAGGTAAATACTTCCATTCCTCCGGCAGACTGTGGCTGTCGTGGCTTTCTCCCAGGATTAGGGGTGGATAGGAGAACTCAACCTGCAAATAGAGACATTATAAGAACCGCTATTCCAGAACCACAGGAGCGACCCTCTAAATCCAGCAATCAGTCATCTGATATCCATGTGTAAGACAGAGTAAAGAATCCCTTTGCATATCACGTTCCTTGAAACAACTGGCAGAAAGTCCTGGGCAGTTAATAGGAGAAGGCCACATATGAAAGAAGAAATAAGGATAGTTTGGGTTCACCCATGGCTTATATCAATAAATATCTTTCATTGGGTTGTATCCAACCAACTCTGAGTGCCGTTCCACTCATGGAATGAAACTTTCCAGTTCACTGTGCCTTCAGAGGCACATTCCTCCGCCGCTAGAACTGTGAAAAGCCCTCAAGAACCTCACTCTTTTGGGAATGGGGCAAGTTTTAGAGGTCCACTTTAGGAGGAGAGTTAGATGCACGTGCGCTCTGTGGCACAATATAAAACAAAACACTCTAAAGCCTGACCCTGCATAAAGCCTTTGCTTGTTTTGTGCACCCCTCCCATGGGATTGCGGTTGTAAACGTCATCTGGCAGAACTCCTAACTGTGGAAGAAGGAGACGCCTACAAAACACACATGATGATTTCTAGTAACAGCAAAACATACAAGCAGTATTTATTGAAAGGGATCAACTACTGTGTGAATGTAACTGAAATTATTAAGATGATACCTCCCTCCATGAAACTCTCTCTCTACTCCGTAAGTCATCCTAGCACACAGAATTTTCTTCCGCCGCTCTAAGGAATAAGAATGCCTACAAACATACATTTATCACCTTCCTCTCCACCTTAACCCCCCCCCCCCAACACCCCTGTTGAATGCCATTTAAGCAACACTTTTTCTGTTAAGTATTATTATTTCAAGCTCTGGCCAAGATCCAATTTCAATGCAGCTCTTACAGAACTACGTACGAAGGAAAAAATGATGCTGAAATGAATGAAGCAGACCCCACAAACATCAGGCTCAGTCAGTTGTTGTTTGCGCATCAGAGTAGCTGCAGCAGGACAACTAAGGAAGGTAAGATGCCTATTGATTATCAAGTCAGCCTTGACAACTAAGCTGGACGAGAATCAAACGATTATACCAATGAAAAGAGAAGGCCCTCGATGCTACCATTCTATTACGCAAAGCCTGAAGCATTCCTCCAGACTTTCACCAATGGAAGATCCATGTAAGTTGGAGAAAGGCTCCTTGTGCCGGACAAACTTCTTCCAGCCTAAGGTAGGACAACACTTTGATTTTTAAACCATCAAGCGGGAGGTAGGAGAAACCAGCCTCTGCTGGTACCACACGGAATCCAGCCAGTCGATTATACTAGTCCTACATTTTGCTGTTCATAAAGGCTCTTTCATATACAATAAAGGGCATTAGGGAAGCCAGCCTCTAGGTGAGACCTGAGGATCCCTCAGAATTACAGCTCATCTCCACACTACAGAGATCAGTTCCCCTGGAGAAAATGGATGCTCTGGAGGGTGGACTCTATATGGCATTGTACCCTACTGATGTCCATGTCCTCCCCAGCCTCCATTCCCAAATCTCCAGGAGTTTCTTAACCTGAAGCTGGCAACCTTACCCCCCATTGGTAGCTATGGGGCACCCAGCAACCTTAAAGGGCATGCAATATGAGGCTCATATCCCATGCTTACCAGACCAAAATCAGGGCCGGTTTGACCTCCGTGGCCTCATACTGCCATGTCTACGGGACACTCAGACGAGGATAAAATGGGTAGACTAAAAATTGGGCGGGCAAAATGAGACCTATGGTCTGTTTCTTACATGGCCAACTTCTGCTATATGGCAATGCCAGCACAGGAATATCAGTTGGGTGAAAAAACAATTTAATATACCAGAAGAATTACACAGATTATCTTAGTCTTCAACTTTGCCTGTGCCTGGCAAATTATTAATAAATGTTAAGGTGAGAATATTTTTGTACTATTATTATTTTAACCATAGCCACAGCCATTATACTCAGTTTTTGAATCTCAGTGTAGATCATATTGTCTTTGAGGCAGTGAAACCTCTGGCACAGATTAAGTAAATTGGCAAAGTGACATAGAATATTCATAAACATTCAAACTTTAGAGAGAGCACAGCTGCTAAGAACTGAGGCTGAACTGAAAGCCAGTGTGATATAGCGGGTATGTATCACACTAGGACTGGAAAGGCCAGAGTTCTAACCACTGCACAACCTTCTGCTAACCACTGTCTCAGCCTAACCTACCTCACAGAGCTAAATGGGTAAAATGGGGGAGGCAAAAATGTATACCAAGAAAAGTATAGGGTGGAGAAAGCTGATGAGGTGAGAAAATTAGTTAAGATGTGCCTAATGTCAGAGAAGGGACTCTGGAGAAATGGGCAGCCAAGTGAGAGCTGGGAACCATGAACCAGGGAGCCAAGAAAGTATAGGATTGCTAGGCCTGAACTCTAGGCTCTTATGGGCTTGAACGATTACACAGATGAATTTTGCCAGTTGTTTTATACAGTCCCCATAGCCCTGTGACAAGCCAAAGGGGGCAGGATGGCCCAAAAAGCTATGGAGGCAATGGCAAAGGTTTACATATTGGTTTGAACTAAGCATTCAGTTACTCAGCTGTAGGCTCCCAGCATTTTGTCACCCAAGAAGATACCCTAAAAGTACTGGCCACAATAGAATACTAACTTTCCCCCCCTTCTTCAGTAAAGCAATATAATCAGGACCCAGATTTTATTTTTTTAAATCATGATGGAATCAAGTATGGAATAACTTGAATCAAGTATGGAATAACTTACAAAGCCACAGCCTTGAATGAAAATCTTACTAAAGAAAACGAACAAGGATTCTACATTAAGCTACAAGGCAAAAACCTCTTCTGTGGAAGCATCATCTTAAAGTAAAGGCCATAAGACAGAAAGCTTGACCTAAAGTGCAAGCTGAAAAAGCTTTTGCTGAAGGCCTCCTGAGTCTGAGCTGGGAAATCAGCTGACCTTCGAATGCTTTATGGTGTATTCTCAAAAGGAAGCCATCGGTATGAGAAGTTATCGGTGTCACAAGGCAGGCATCTGCAGCAGAAAGAGTGATGCTCTGCTTAGATTAATTTGCCAGGCATCCTGGAAATAATTTAATCTGCTCTATATCAGGAGCAAAGAACCGCTTCCAAAGCAGGGACAAGGTTACCCACAGAATGCAAAATTTGTACATGCCTCTTGAGCGGGCTGAGGGACAATCCACACGACTGTTTTCCTGCCTACTTTAGACCCCACGGAGATCACAGTGAGCAGATTGCGTGCAGGGTTTGCCAAGGACCCAGATGGGAATGCTGCACGTGCTGCGTAACCTGCCTTCTATTAGGGCCAGTGCTTAGGGCAAAGGTCTCAGACCACCCATTTAACACAAACAAGGTCTAGGTTGAAGGGGAGGAGAGAGCCTCCAATAACGCTCAATATGCAGGATTGGGATATTGAAAGGGCCCTGGAGCAAGCTGAATCAAGTGGCCCTTGCACTGCTGGCGGCACTACAAGTTCTGCTTGGCTCAGACCCATGGAGTGGCAGCAAGGACAATTGGTACCGGCTGCCAAGGGACCACCAGGAACTTTGCTGGTAAGTTAAAGGGCCAGTCCTGCCCTTGCTAGTACGGTGGTGTGAACTGGCCCTAATAAATACCAGCAGCAAGTATGCAAGTTTCTGTCGTGCGACTCTTCATCAGTGGGAACGTTTCAGAAGTTTTCACATAAAACTCAAAACCTTGCATAACCCCAAATCTCAATAAAATGGTCATTTTCTGATTTGGATTAGTTATTCTTCGGGAACAGCATGGCCACGGTTTTAACACACCAACCTATAAGACGCACACACTTCCCCCCCCTCCACTTTTTTTTGGGGTGGAAGTGCGTCTTATGGAGCGAAAAATATGGTACGTCAGCTGCTATTGCAAAGAAAACCAATAACCCACTCTTCTGCAGAACTAGGCCTGCTTAAACCTATTTATTTCCCAAGCTAAGGCATTGGATTGGTCTGCAGATGCTTACTGGAGGAAGACATCAGGTGAGAGCGCTTCCGTCAGCATCATGGTGACAGCATGATTTGGTAATGTTAGTGCTCCAGGTGGGGAACAGTTGGCCAGTCAGCCACACAGAACCAACAGAGCCACTTCCCACCTTGGATCCGCTGCTTCTTCTGGTAAAGCCACGTGATGCCTTTTTAGATGCTGCTCTGCAGCCTCCTACTGTCTGTGCCCTAAACCTCCCTGACAACATCTGTACCTTTAAAAGGAGGAGGGTTAGAGCCTCCAGATTGCTGCTCCCACATGACTGCACCTTGCAGAGCAGATGGCTTGTGTGCAAAACATATCCAAGGCAAGTCTGGCCAGGACACCAATCTACCTCCCCAGATACCTGTGCCCCACCACAAAAGAGGTGGGGAGGAGGGCAGGCCTTCCTCCCAGTCTTCTCAGCATGTGTGTGTGTGTTCTGGGGGACGGGCTGCAGCAGTTTCCCCCCTGTGATGGTGAAAACGGGAAGGGAGGGGCGAGGCTGGGTAGCTAACAAGAAATGGGGGTGGGTCTGCAGAACGGGGCCCTCTTCCCATTGCCCCAGTCTGTCTTTTGCTTACCCTGCCAATATGCTCAAGAAACACTTGCCCTTTGTATATAATATGAGGCACTGAAAAGTTTTAAGGCAAAAAATGGTCCGAGAACTTATTTCAAATCCCTCCAGGGCAAGTCTGGCTAGTGAAGTTGCAAGGAAAGTTTCTGGGTCGTGCTGCAGGAGAGGAGGCTATGGGTGAGCTGAAGCACATCGCTGGTACCCGAGCGGGGTCTGAGCTGAGCAACCCTGCAGTGCTGGCTTGTAGCACCACAGGGGCTGCTCAGTTTGGCTGGCTCCAGGGCCGTTTCACTCTTCCAGTCCTCCCCTGCAAATCTCAAAAACCGATGTGTATTATAGACCAGGTTGTATCTCTGTTAAGTGTCTCAGCGAGGCTTATATACTCCATTTTCAACCCTCTGCTGCTACTACGTCC